CCCTTACGACATCTGTTATAGGTACTATCGTCGATGCTCTTTCACGTGAAAGTGTTCGTTCTCATGACTTTTAAAGTCAAACCTTCCTCATAGATGGGTGACCGATGGCTGGTTTTGCCGATTTGCATTTGTGTTTTTCGAGATCTTTTGTTCCAAGAATGCCAAATACCTAAAACAAAATAATCGAGACACCAATAAAACCCATAGGGAAAAAGCCTACGATATAATTGAGATTGTAATGATGGCGATACCCGCAAACACCAAAAACACTAAACCTGGGAGAAACTTAAGTGTAGCATTGTAAATACTATTCGCAGCAGCACCCACTGCTGAATGACCAATAGTTTCAATAATACCAGCAGCAATAAATACAATTGCATATTCATTCATTTCAATCTGTTTTACTATTTTAGCTCGAAGTATAGGCATAATCATGAAAGCTAAACTTCCAATACAAACACCAATATAAAGTAACCAAATCGTCTTTGCAAAAGCTAATATAATAAGATTTCCAATAATAGCAAATATTCCCATAAATAATGGTAAATATGAATTATCAAATGGTTTATTAATCAATGCAGTAATTATACTCCAAAGAAATACAAGTACTGCTTGGGCAGTTGACAGTAATCCAACATGTAATGCATCCAAACATAAAGGTTGTCCATATAGATAAAGTGAAAGTATAGATAAATATCCAAACACTGCAACTTGAATTAAAATACTTATAATTGTTATTAATATCAATAGTTGTCGTTTATTGTCAGATCGTTTTTTTGTATATACTGTTACAATATTAATAAGATATTTGAAACGAATAAGTGTTAACTGTTTGAAAAAAGACATTGTTCGTCTAAAACAAAAGAAAGGAAAATTTCTCGAACGATGAATATTATTTGTATTCTCACGCATTTTCGATTGACTCTGGTTGTATAAATATTGCATAGATTAGAGCAATTACACTCAAACTCAAACAAACGCTCAATGGTACAGTATACTGGAAGTAACGCAACCAAATTCCTATTGCTAATACTGGTATTATACGAGCTAAAAACATAATAGCTTCAGTTAACAAAAATGCTCGTGGTCGATTTGATGTATTTGTACAATCAGTAACATATGCAAGTGCACCTAACATGATTAAACCACCTGAACCAAATATAGAATCTAACGCGCGAGCACTTAAGATCCATGTATCAGATAGATTACGATGAACAATAATTAACATTGATGAATACCAAATAATTTTTCCAATAAGTGGTAAAATGATCAATGGTCGACGTCCAATATGATCACAATTTGCACCAAATAAAATAAATGTTAAACTTGCAGGAATAAGTCCAACAATTGAATTTTTTGTATGAAAACTAGCTGCATCTTGTTGAACTTTTGAATAATCAGGATGATTTTGATCATTAGAATAAAATTGCCAATAGGATTGAGATGAAGAAGATGTTCTTTGAGATTTTATACAATCTTTATGCTGTGAACCTGGTGATGTATCAAATCCATAACGACGTTCATAATGACGTATAATGAAATCATTCATAAGAAGTGGATCTGATGATTGAATCAAAATTATTAATGTTAAACATGGTAAAACAAGCCACCAACGTGGAGTTAAAATAGCTGTTGTTCTATCATGACGCGATTTCGATGATGTTGATTGAAACAATTTCTCTCTTTGAGTAACATTGAGTGGATCGGCTAAACGATATTTTCTTGGATACATTTTGATTTATTGAGCTTGATAAACTCATCGAATAAGAGTGAAAAGAAACGCTTTCTGTATGAAAACAAGGTCAAAAGAAGAATATGCCTATTGACAGTATATGTTCAAACGAAGGTCAATGTCTTTCGTTAAAAGAAGCAAAGAAAGAGAAAAATTTGATTCTATACATATATTGAAGTGCTGAATTGAGTTAATTATTGAAAAAAATTCAAGGAGATCATTACTTTGATTGAAAAAATAGAACACATCTAACATATTGAAAGTTCTAGAATAAATTTTCTCAAGTAAAACTAATTTAAATCTATTAAACTAGCTCCGTTTTCTATTAACCTTGATTGTACTCAATCATTGAAAATACCTTCTAATACAAATGTACTTTTTTCATTCTTTTATATTTTTCAGATGATCGAACATTTTTTTTCTTCGTTCGTAAGCTGACTCGTATAATTTTTGCAACATACTGTACTTCGTCATTTACTCCTTCAAGCTTTAAAGAGATTTTGATACAAATATAGACGAAGTGAACAGATTAATGAAACAAGAATAACAACTATTGTTCAATTTTATTGAATAAAAGAAATTTTCTTCATTCGACATATATTCATAACAAATATCAATGGCAGATATGTATCGATGTATTCAACAGACTTCTTCACACGTAAACAACCGTATTTTACAACGACGATAACCAAATCAATAAATTTAAAAAAAAACGATACTATGCGATTGGTATTTGAGTTAATGAAAATTTAAAACAAAGTGATACAGTATCATTGAGATAGACAACATTTATTAGTAGATATAAGTTCAATAGTAATATTTAGTTTTTCAAATCAACTATCAATGATTCGATCATAACATAAACATATTAAAGAAATTAATTCTTTCAGATTATCGAATGAGAGTAACACTATTTTATTTCTATCTGTATTCTAATTCTTACACAACAATCTTTCTTAAACGAAACTATAATCTAGATTTTTCATTTTGAGTTTAACTGCAAATGATAAACTTTTCTTTCGCAGAAAAATTTCTCATGTAAAACAATTAAATTCACTGGAGAAAGTTCTTCGTTTTTAAGATTCGCCTGCATTTCTCGCACACTCACCGGCAAGAAAACGTCGGGATCGAAAGGGTTAACTTTATTAGACGAAATTTTTCAGAATAGAGGAAACATTAGTCAGAGAAAATTAGGAAAAGAAGCATTTAATTCGAACAACTGCCAGCAATGGATTGCCAACTTCCATTGACTTTACATTTGCAAGACGCATAAGCAAAACCACGACATGAACCAGTGACAGCACCAATATTCTTTCCAATACAATTGGCTTCACAACGTGCTGAATTCCATGGACATCCACAAGTACCAGCTGAAGCGGAATCTATTCAAATACACATAGATTTACGTATATTCAAACATTTCTTATTATTTTTAACATACCTAATATCGTTCCGAAAACCAGCACAAATACAACAAGAAATATGAGAGCACGAGCCATTAGAAAATATTTTTCAATGATATCGAAATTGAATAATTTAATCCTTTTATACTTTTTCATAAGAATAGAATTTACGCACGAAAAAAAACGCAAGTAGATAGAATAAATTATAACTCTCATTATTAGTATGCAAAAGAGATTATGAATCACGTCGAACGTCACTTCCACTTTGAAAAGAATAAAAAAAGAAAGAATTACTTCCAATACAAATGTTACTGTATACAATTTTTCAAATGAATAAGTATAGATGCATAAATTTACAATTTCACAGAATAGTTCCGCTTTCTTTTTTTCCTTCGAGTGCTATTTTAGCGGAATGAAAACTTTCATCTTTTGAAATACTATTTGATGGCCTTTGGAGAATTCAATCGAATCTTTTCTGAAGATTCTTTAAAAAGATCTTTTCAAAAATCTACTTGTGATGAATATGTAAAGATGAAAATTTTGATTACCGATACAGGTTTAACAAAGAAATTGCATAACGCGAAGAAGAATCGTCTTTCATTTTATCAATTAAATTGGGAGTATACACTGAAACGTCAACCTTCTACCAACAAAGTATAATACAATGAAATACTTTCAAATTATCATCTACAATGAATGTATTACACAATTAATAAACAGAAGTGAACAGATTAATAAGTAAAACAACGATAATAACTGTTGTTTATTGATAATGAAAGAATTAAGCGATACCAGTCTTTTCCCCTTGAAATATAATTTCTATTCCGAACTAATCGATAAACAAGAACTCATCAGACGAAATATCATATTAGAAGATTATAGTAAGCTTTAATCCGTACTACTCTCATTCAAAAGGAATGTATTGAAACAGTTGAAAAACATTTTCTTAATAGATTTCTGTTACATGTGATAGACACGTATTCAATGTATTTAACAGACTCCTTCATGTGTGAAAAACCGTACTCCACAACTAATATAATGACACATGTGTAAACAACATGCTGATGTAATTACTTGCCTTCTCTCTCGTTTCATACCAATTTTAGTTCTCTGTTTTTGTTTCTCTATCCGTTTGAAATGCATCGTCAGGATGATCAATTTGTCATCGAATAGCTCATGTTGACTTGATTATTAATTGAATTGACTATCTCAAGAGAGAAAAAAAACGTGAGTTTAATAATAATGTTTTATTTTCAAATCAATCATCGATGATTCTCAATTATAACATATGCATATGAAAGAAATTAAGGCGACTAGATTAGTCAAGTTATTTAGGAATATGATGATTGCAATTAATAAGAGAATTAAATGAGAAGATACATCAAATAAAACATTCTGTCATATTGCAGATGATGCGATGGACAAACAATTCAAAAATAATCAAGTTATAATTGTTGACTATCAACTATTTTCGAGAATTTCTTTTGAATTTTCTCGATTTTATCCCGTGTATAGTTTTGGTTTTGTAGATTATCAAAACTATCTGATTAGTCCTTGTAATTAAGACGAAATTGATTATGTTAATTAAATATTTACACTCAGATATACTCTCAATAAGTTTAACTAATATTAGTCGTTGAGTTAATTCTTAATTGTTTCAAAAGAAATCTTCATAAATTGGGTATAAGAAAAATCGATAGTTTCTATTTCTTCGACATTGTCGATCTTCTAAAAGTGTTTTGCGACAATAAACTATTAATCTTCCTTCATTTCGCAATGTAAGTTCTTCAACTTTCTTTTCATCAATAAATCGTCGCAATTTACATAATTGTTCATCTATGGATGGTAATGAATGACACTCTTCCATGTCTTTGTAAATAACTTTAGTGGACATTGTAGTTGAAATTTGATTTTTTAGCAAAGCCATTAATTTTTCTTTCTTAGTTGCTCCATCAACGGTATCATCTTCGTTTTTATCAAACGATTCAAGTAATTGTATAAAAACCTGACTAAATATATAACCACGACGGTCTGGACAATATTTTTGCATGACACCAGCAAAACCTTCCAATGTTTTACAGTTTAGAGCAACGTAGATAACGAGATGGGAATCTATTCCGTAATTATGAGCCACAGTAGATTGTTTCTCACCTAAAATAGACATCAGATCTCATTTTTTTTTCATTTAATTTTCTTGAGTTGACTACTCACATTGAAATTTTCCATCAATAATAGATAAAATATTTTCTTTCTTTGGTAAACATAAAAGTCCTCCACTATTTGTATCGGAATATATCAAATAATAAAATTTAATTAAGAATTCATATCTTAAAGTATCGTAATAAAAATGTTTNGATATTTTTCTTATGTATTATATTTGAAATAAATCAAAATCTTGAACTAGTTTGCGGAATTGTCCACACGTCATGCGTTAAATGAAATTCTTCAAAAATAGATTTAGCTTGTTCATTCGTCCATTTTGTCCAATTTTCATTTAGATGATTTCCATACCATTTTTGAGCGAATTTCCAAATATTTTCAATTGGTTGAATATCACCTTTTGCTATCTGATGTCGTTGACACCAAATATCGACTTCTATTTCCGATGTAAACATTTGCATAACACTACAGGTATAAACAACATTGTCCCAAGCATGTCTCATTGGAATAGGAAAATGAATCAATAAACATTCATTAGTAATTAATTGTCCATCTTTAATATGAATTTTAATCTGTTTGAATTCACCACCGAGTGTTGTAGTGATGGTCGTGTCTTCTTTGAGAAGCGCAGCGATTCCTAAACTACACCAAGCACAATTTCCCCACCATTGTCCTCTGGAGGATTCAACCCAGAAATTTGTTGGTGATAATGCAAATGGATGCACAATCCACACTTCAGATGTTTTAGGATGTAAAACAACACCATGATATTCTTGTAGATCTTTCAGATATTGAATTATTTCTTCTTGTGAACGCTGAAATACAGTTGATAGACTCAAAATGGAAGGAGAATAACCATTTTGAATGATATCTTTTAATATAATATGATGGATGCGTGATAAACTTAACTCCATATAAGATAACTGCGTATGATGGTCGGAGCGTTAGTGTAACTGTCGAGATAAAAAAAAATCGTCATTCTTTTTCTCGCTATCAAATTGTCCTTCTTTCTTTGTCGAATTTACTTATCTCATCAGTCGCGTTTATTCTCGATAGATATTAAGCATACCTGTATAACTGAAAACTTGAATTCGACTAATATCTGTTTCAAAGGAATTTTCTCATCCATCAGAAGTCAATTTCATCTTGAAGAATATGATTAAGAAAATCTTCTTATCTAATAATTCATGAAGTCATGCTATGGAAAAATTTCTATATCAGTCAGCTCAAAAGTTCTCATCAAGTCGGACTTTTTTTTAACCATAGATTCGTGTTTATTTCATACTACTATCATGGGTAGTATTCGATTGGGTTGTTGTTTGATTCTTCTCATTATAGCGCATTTAAGTGGATCTGTACATTTGAACATTATTATCATTAAAAATGTCGGAGAAACAGCAAGAAAGCAAAAAACAATACGATGATAATATTTTGGCAGATCCATGAAAAATGAAATAACGACAAAAGTGACATATGGAATTCCAAAAGTCAATAGAATATTCACAAGAACGACCGTACGTCGGAACATTTCCAAATCTCTCTGATTACGTAATAAAATATTCACAGGTGTCGTTCGACGGTTCATTGTTTTGACGTATCGAATTAGTTTCAAATAAATCATCATTAACAATGTTAAAGGAAACAGGTAAACCGAAAACATCATATAAATAATTGAAAATGACAATCGATTTGGCATAATACATATTTGATTATCAACAACATAAATAATTTCATTACGAAGATAATATTCCAATGGACTGAGTATACTTATGATCCATATAGAAATGAGANGTCGAGATATGTATTTAAAATTATTAAATCTTGATAATATACCATTAAATGATAGATTTTCACTTTGATTTGATGATTCTTCTTCTGTTGAAAAATCAAATATTGTTGATGATATTGAATCTTTTGTACAGATTTCAATATCTTCAAGAATTAAATGAAAAAGTTCACTTTTATTATTCGAACTGTATCGAATTGATCTTTTTGAATCTGTTACAATAGGATTTTTAATTGAATCTTCATTTGTTAAAATATAAATAAATATAATTTGTGTAAAATCATCTAAGATTGATAAAATATTTGATACGAATTCATAATCAATAATCAAAAATATATTTGATGTTTTTATTTCACTTAGAAAATCAATGAAATGATCATTTGAATGAAATATTTTTATATTTATATTATTTAATACTTCATTTTTATCATTATTGGTTAACCAAAGAATATGAACATCAGATTCATTGAATTTTATTAAATCTAATTGTGTTGATTGTAAACATAATTGAACAGTATTTTCCTCGATTTGATCATCTTCATAGAAAAATCGTCTGTCTGATGGAGATAATGAACGGCGAGATTCTTCGAAAAATTTTTCTTTACTTTTACTCATTTAATATTCGTCAAAGTGTAATAACTATCGTCTCTCGCACATGTTTTATAGGAAGTGAAATGATTGTGAAATCAACCGTGAAAATTATTTCGTGTTTTTTAGTGTTTATTTGACAGTTTGAGTGTGGGCATGACGTGAAGGTAATAGTAAATATAAAGCGTGAAAACTGGTTTTGATTAACATTTTTTTATTTTTTATTATGATCTTATAAAGGACAAAAAAATGAAGATTTCCATCAGATTAATGTCATGACTTTAATTGACTGTGAGATAAAGAATGGGCAAAAAGTTTCGAGTCGTTCTCTGTAAACTGATGTTATATAGATGAATACATATGTAAATAGTGAATTGAAATCGTGTTATAACCATGAAAAATGATCATCATTTTATTCATGATCGCTAAACAAAAAACACATTAAAAAAAGTCTGATGCTGTTCGGAATATAACATTTGAAGGAAATAAGAAAGATTTGAATATCGACATATATCTTGTATAAGAGAAAGTATGCGAAGCTTTCAATATCTTGAAGTAATAAGCTGTTTTGTCTGTTTAGGAAGCTCTCAAAGGTTATTTTCAATGTCAACAATTAATAGCCAATTGCTAGGTTCATTGGAAGCTACACGCACTCTCTCATTCGAAGTATATCAAATTTCAAATCGAACGGAGGATCAAAATTGTCAGATTATAATCTAATTTTTATCCTAAAGTAATCATAGTCAGAATTTGAAATCTTCTCAATCAAATTATGATGGTATACGTTTCATAATTCGTAATTAAATTTTTTTTCGATATTCATAGTTACATAAGCCAACTTGTTTTTAAATCATAGGAAAAAGTAACCAAATTTCATTGAGAAAAATGAATTTTAAAAGTATTAATAAATAATATAAAAATGAAATGATATCTCCACTATTCTATAGAAGTTTATGGACAATATATATTTTTAATTAATTAGCTTTTGTCAAAGCATCAACATATCAATGTGTTAAGAAATAAAATATTCAACAATCAAAACATTCAGAAATTCTCAATACCCAATAGATCATTGCTGTACAGATTTTGGGAGCAAAGGGTGAAATTTGTATCCAATAGTACGTCAAGGACATATATTTGTATATATTACATTTAAGCATCGAGTGTGGCTATTATTCTTCACGATTTTTGTTACTTCGTACACAGTCTCGTGTTGTGTTTTTATTAAACGTGTTTTGTTATCAAGTTACAGTCAAAATCAAGAATTTCTCGTGATTTGATTTTTAAAACCTTTGACATTTATACAGAGAAATTGGACTCGGTGAAGCTTAGTTTTTTTACGATTATGCCGAATACATTTATATTCTCCTTTTTGTTATGCGTATCAACATCTTTATCGAAGTCAAATAAAGATATTTTCAAACTGAGATCTTTCTGTTTCCATTTAGAAAAAAGAATCTCTCGGGATGTTATGCTTATATTTTGATAGAGTTTTGCCTGAAGATAGCTATATCCATACAATACAATTACATCGTAGTGCTGATAAGACTAATTGTCGAAGATGCTAAAGTCTTTCATGCATTGCCATATCTTTCTCAGTCACATAATCTTCGTCGATACGGTTTTCACTCTCGATCTTTTTTCGTCTGTGCAATTACAACCGACTGCTTCTCACTCCTCATTTGTATGCAGACGACAGCGAACTGCCTGTGCCTTGGCGTTGATGTAATAGAGTTGCAGCAATTGAAACGAAATACGATCAAGATGATGGTGTAGCTATATTTACTTTTCTTGGGTTCCAAGGTCAAACACTTATCGACAAGACTTTGACTAACAGTTGCACAGTTGCCACTGCATTAACATGAAAAAGGAACAGTACATATAGGGAAGGTCGCACAACATACTATAGAAATCACTATTATTATTGCTGGTCAATAACTGTTATAACACAAGACACTCAAGCAAATGTAGAAATTAATAATGCTAGGAATCGTTAACAAACAATTTCTGACGGAATACTATCGATTGTAATAGGAGAATAGGCAAGTCCTCCGCGACTATTTCCGTCTATTGACTATATCATTAATTCTCTTCTCTTTTCATGTGGTATATACAGCAACAATTAAGCGAGAGTAAAACATATTTATCAAGTAATTACCAACAAAAATGCTTACGCAATTCACTTTTAGGCTATTACCAGCATGTGACGCAATAAGGAGAAAATAAACCGACAGCTCAATGCATATTAGACTGTAGAAAAGGAAAAAACGAAATATAATTACATTGTTCACATTAACCCCTTGGAAACGGAGTTACTTTGAAGAAGGCAAAAGTAGTTAGGAAGTCGTGATTGATATATTTATTCATATCAATAACAAAAAGAGTCAAGAAGTATTTGAGAGTATGATAATCTTGTTTCCGAACAAACGATATAAATTTTTAAAAGACTTTTTTCATCAATGTTGAACATATAAATTGAATAGGAAAAACGTGAACGATGTCACAATACGAATGATGGTACAATGGTTTGAGAATCTACGCGCTAGTGCAGATCCTAGAAACATCGTTAGTAAGACACGCAAATAAACTATGAGTTAGCTTTCAGATGGATGTATATATACGTCAGCCGTTTCCAAGAGGTTAAATATCCAAACATAGCAAAGAGACAGAAACTAAGGATCCATGCGATCGAGTAGTAAAATGGTTGTACAATTATTGTGATCCGATTAGTTTGAAGGACTAGTAGCACTTTTCTCATAATAGAATTCGAATACAGTTCTTACGAAGTTGGAATGCTTTTTCTTTTAACTTATACGTTATCAAAGAAATAAAGAGTATTAAATAACTATGAATAGATGCATTTAATTTCGCTTGTTCTTTAGGCAGGATTCGTCGATTCTTATTACGGTCATTAGTTGTATGCATACAAATACTAACAAGACAACATTGATGATAACTTTACACCCATTGGTATTGACTTGATTACTGAGCGCAAAAACGGAATCTTGTGCAAAGTAAATATCGATGATGTTTGGTCGACGAAACTACCGGAATCAGGTAGAAAAGATGAACCGATAAGATCCGACAAGTCTCACTGCAAGGATCAATATAGATCTCTTTCGAACGAGACATTCTCATGTGACTATTTGTCAAAGTGTGTTTGCGCGGCTTATCTCAACATTTTGATTATTCAAAGAATTGACAATGCAATCATTGCGATTCATCACCAACAGGAACGCGATTGAGCTCATGCGTCACGATAAAAAAATGAAATTGTCAATCAAGAAGCAGAACGAGAATCAATAAAGCGCGATATGTCACTAAGGAGTAGATGCTGAATGAACTCTCAAGAAAAAGAGAAATAGCCGTGCATGTTGATATGTATGCGCGAAGCAAAAGAATAAATTTATTTGAAAACTAATTTAATTATGAAAGAATGCAAAAATTCAGAAAAGTCTTTCAGTTCGCAAAATCATTTTTTTAGCAATTAGTCAGTAGCACCTTTTGATTCAGCCAAAGCCCGAGCTTCTTGCATTGCCTACAAAAAGGAAAAGTATTTAGTAATATTAAATATTTAAAACCACCATCTTATTTACATGAAATTTTGCCTTTTCTCTATCGAGAAAATCAAGGCCGTGTGTTTCAAATAGTTTGTCAACTTCAGCACCAGCAAGTGCAGCAAGTGCTTCTTTAGAAAACTGGTGATCATCGCCGGGATGTTGTTTTTCCCAGAGATGCATCGCTTCGAACGCTGCTGCTCCCTTTGTACAATGTTTAATTAAAGTTAATGAATATGCAAAGAAAAAAGGAGAATTTCTGATAAACTTACACCTAGCAATTCATGGCTCCAAGTTGAATGATGTCTACCACCACGAAATATTGCTGCATGAGCTTCCTCGGACATTATTGCTTGATTTTTATCGTCTTCGAATATTAAAGCTTAATTTCTAAAACAAATACAGAAGTGTTATGAATGTCTATGGATGAGAATGATCGTTGAATATTTTCCATTTTTATTACATGCACTGCACACAATAATGAGTATTGTTAAAGAATAAATAGATGGGAGGTAACTTTGTTTTCAATCGAGACGAATGCAAAAAATGAAGAAAATATAGTAGGCGCATCACTCCTTATTTATTTTTCTTTTGTTGTAATGATCACTGATGCATACATTGCATTTCATTTTCGCATGAATAACACAAAAGAAGGGCGTGGATAAAAGATATTTTCTTTCAGTAGATACGTACGTATTACAAATAGAGAGAAAGAAAGGTTCTGATTGTGAACAAATGGTAAACTGATTGGTGAAACTTTGAGTTTCTTTCAGAGGAGTTAACATATAACGAATAAATACGTTTGGAAAAAAACAAAAATTCTGAATTCTATTAATTTGATAGATTTTATTTTTGTTATTGATGCCGACGTATTGATAAACACACCAAATCGCTTGATTTTTTTCTTCTTCTGGTGTCTTACAAAAACAAGTAAGCCTAGTATTTTGATAATTTTCGTATCGTTCTTAACTCAGTATGAAATATTTGCATATTGACAAATTCGAAACGACAGTACATCAATATGACCAGCTCCATGTTTCATCATATGTACTAGATTTACATGAACTTGTCGAACTGTAAAATTGCATCTTCAGTATAAAATTTCGTAGTATAATTTTTTGTGTATTTCGAGAATCTCCAGATCGACGCATTTTCTGGATCTTTAAGGAAACAAAAAATATGTGAAATTCAGTCTACGAAACACTGTCTAAAAAATTCTCTTCTTTTATAGACATTCATTTGTACATACGGAACGATGATGTACACTTCTTTTTGTCATAATACAACTCGATATTTTTACATTTCAGACAAATCTATCTCAAGGACAATAATACGGAATCCGCGTGTCCAGATGATTTTATTGGGATTTGTTTTATTCAGGCACTATTATAGGTATTTGTGATTACATTGAATATACTATACACGTAGTTATATGAAACTATTCTATAATTAAATTAGTACGGAATATCACCCTGATTGTCTATCTAAGAGTATGCAATGAGTCAAAGATTTAATATTATACATTAGGAATAATGTAATAACTCTTGAATATCAAGAATGAAACTTCCTGATTTTTATGAAAATTTCTAATATCTAAAATTTGAATTTGGCAAGCCTGGATCTATCCAATTAAAACTGAGCCTTCTCATAGATGAAAAGTCTGTTCGAGAAGTGAATGAAAAAATGGCGAAAGGATTTCTAAAGAAAGAAATGACGGTACGTTAACCATCATACCATCAACAAAAAGGCATAAGATTTCTCACGATTTTTTTCGTCAGCAATTTACGATATAATATTACATATACGCAATGAGTCAAGCAGACATTTAATCTTCGTTGGAGGAAGAGCAACAAATATTGCACGTCGCACGACAAACAGAGAAGTGTATATCGAGAAGCTTTTCTCAGTCACGAATCTCTATGGTGTACGTTTTTCATTTTCTCCTATTCGTACGACGACGTTTTGACTGCAGTTCGTTTGATCGTTTTCTGTTCTTGTTTTTTTTTCTGAAGAGCCAAGCTCATTCAACGCTGTTCAGTTTCGAAATCTGACAGTTGGCTACTATTGCCTTTGGACACAGACGTGCATCTGTGCGATGACTATATTCGAAGTCGTTGCTATCGATACCTTTATTTCAATCAAGATCTTTTGGTTTGAAAGAAATTCAGTGGGGCAAGAAAAAAAGAACAGATCTCTAGTTGACGACGTGCGCCAACCACTTGATCTGATTGAGTCAATTCAAAGAAGGTTTTTGTTGAATCGAAATTCGAAAATACTTTTTCATTTCCATGCCCATAATACTTAGTGAACATGTTGCTGGCAACCGATCTTGTAACCATGTGTCTAAGATTCCTCGCTCCTGCATTAATGTCGGATCCAAACGCCACTTCATATCCTCACAGAAACATGTCAGCGTTCGAACTTGAATCATTTCGCTCACTAGATTAAGAACGTTGCGACGATCGGTCAGATCCAGTGAGAGAACTTTACATTGACGACCTAATGGCGACGCAGCGAAAACAGAACATTCAACAGCGTTGCTACAATAATCTTTGATTGAAATTCGATGAAGTGGAGCAGGAATACGATCTAATTGCGCCAATTGTTCAGGTGACACATTGTTAACCGTGAGCGAGTGACAACGTGGTGTTTGATTGATTAAGGCTTGCAGCTGTCCCAGACTGGTCTTATAACTTAGTGAGATATTCAATGATCTGAGACAAGTCAATGTTGAAATGAATGACCAAATCGGAGTTTCCGTTGGAAGTCGAATTGTGACATGACCGATCTTCGGCAAGAATACACATGGTATTTGGTTGCGAAAGAGTAAATATTCTATTCGATTAGGAAATACTAAATGTAGGTTTCCGTTACGTAAGAGAAGGTCGGAACCAATCGGATAGCATATGTGATCCAACGAAGAAACATTTGGATTTTCAGGATATGTCGATTTCGACTGGAACGATGGATGAACAACATAGATGTCCCGACAGCAACTTGGCATCGTGTAAAGAAAGAGTCGTTGACCTGTGATTTGTCGATTCCAATCACATCGAACGAACCAGCGATGTTCATCGAGATAAAATGGTGTTCGAAAGGTGTCGAGTATTTGCTCGACGTGATCTTCGATGATCATCTCTTCATGAAAGGAATATGTCGTAAAAAATCGCCAGACTCTGATCTTCGATAAAGAAGCAAGGATGAGCGCTTGCCAAGAATGACCATTTAAATATTTCCGGTCGGATGTCTCGGCCAGTTCCAATGTGACATGTGATAAATTCGGCATTGCTTGGAAAATATTGTTCAGATGATGTAGTGACGAATCAGTCGATAAGTTGAGTTTGCTGATGGATGGAAGGATAGGGAGCGTTTCGGAAGAAGCATGTCGATCGAAGAGTGTGGCGTGAACATGTCGAACATTTGGTGTACATAGAAGCAATGCGAACAAGTCTTTGAAGGTAAACTTCACAGTTTTCATCGATAAATATTCAATCGTTTTGGATGTTCGCAATGGTTGTCGGAAAGAGTAAGGCGAAAGCATCGCAGTAAAATCGAGATGGCAGTGAGTCAATTTGGGCAAAAGCCAAACGTGATGGATTAAGTCGGAAAACTTGTCCGTGTTACGGCAGGAGCAGTATGTTATTTTCAAACGAGTCAGGGAGGACATTTGATCACAGTTAGATAGAATTTTCATGACGGGTTCGATCGAATCAGCATGACGAATTTGATTGATTAAGAATTCACCATCATCATCGGACAGGTGCAACGTGGCGACTTGTCGGCTAATCAATGGAAGATAAACACGACAGAAGTGATTGAAATCGTGTTGTGATGCTAGCTGAAAGTCAACATGGTATGTACGAGCGTGAACCAGTAGAAGTTCGTTGAACCGAGTGTTGAGACCATAGAAAGCACGAAAGAGATCGATCGCATTAATGCACTCGAATATGTCGAGTAGTAATTCATTAGCGAGAGATTCCAAAGGCATTTCTCCTCTTCTTTTTACGACAATCGATATGAGTATTGTAGATCAGCATGCACCTGTATATTAATATCTTTCATGTCTTTTCTTTCTTCACACGTGTCGCAATAACCATCTCAACTTGAGTCATGGTATTTTTCCTGTCATAAATGTGTATGGATGTGAGGGGGCGGGTGCGCTTGAGTATAGGTATAAAAGAATAGAATTTTAGAAATATTTTCATCTGTCCACGAATCTATCGGTTTAGAAGAAGATCATAAAATCAAAGCAAGACTCAAACAGACATCCTCCGATAACTGGTCGGGTATTCGGTATAATTGAAAAAGATCGAAAGTCAAAATGTCGAAAAATTAATATCGAAGTAAAAAGAGGGAGTTACAGAAAGATGCATAGGGAAAACGACGAAAAACAAAAAAAGACGTATTATTGTTGTAGTAAATATTTTATTCTGTATTAGGAAATTTTTATTAAAGACGATACACGATTAAAAAAATATGAAAGAATGTGTGCAGTCCTAAATCACAAGTTTCACACCGATTTTTACTTTTTCCTTCCGACCAATAATGATAAGGCATTTAACAATTGCTCACTATTGATATCCTGATTGTTATATCGACTATTTAAAGTCTCGATTCGCTTTTGCATTGTATCAGCTGCCTTTGCGTTTGGTAGTTGTTGTGTACCAGCATTAATTTGACTATATAACGGAATTCGATGTTCGTTGGTGTTCGAGACGTTCACTTAGACATCGACGAATAATGGCGCTGTACTACATTGTACTTTTATAGTGAAAAAGACGTCATTTATAGATTATTTTATCATGCCATTGATCTACGTCGGATTGTTTGTCGGTTCTCAAGATATTCTATTCGTGTCGCAACTATCTCCAGTGAATTCTGCGTCGTTTTAAACCTATTCTAATGCATTTTCAGGAGTGTTGGAAGAATGATAAAGCTTTTTTTCTGAGCATCAACTCCCCGATCTTTGTCGCATATGCTCTAAGGTTGGCTCATTTTCTACGGATAAGAAAAGAAAATGAGAAAAAGCAATTCATATCTTTGTTATTGATCAAACAACGATTCGAATGCCATTGAAATGAAGGCTATAACCCTAAAAACAAAAAACTAGATAGAGTTGCAAGGTTGCGCACCCGCGCCCTCAAGACCTTTAGGGCATGCCTTTGTTTCAGAATGGCTATGTAATATGTGATTAAGATCTAAAAAACAATTCTAGACTCAGTTTTACATGGAGAATCAAAAAAACATCGCAATAATCGAAAAACTAATTGTTATCAAAATACGACTTGATTTTTTCCAGCCTAGCACTATGTACAGATATTGAGGCATCATTAGCGTTTTACTATTTTTTCTGGAAAAACTAATCAGATAAAAAAAATAAGAATATATTCATGATCAGCATCAAAAACTGAATAGAATCATGTATGCTGTAATTTTGCATTATGTGCACCTTAAAAACTAACATCAGATTCAAGTTCCCCGATCACAAAAACCCTTTGGTCAAGTTTTTTACGAGAATAGTTTTTAATGGCTATATTTTAGTTTTAGACCAATCAGTGAAGTGCAGACATACAAGCAAGCGAGCAATCAAACAAACAATTTATGTTTCTAAGACTCTTCTCTACGAGAAAGAAAATAAACTTGATTCATCATAAAAGTGATTTTAATATTGAAGCAAGCTGGCCATCCTCTGCTAGTGGACATGGAAAAGGACCTTCTCTTGGTATAGGAGCTACAGCCAAATCAAGTGCCAGTCGATCAACACTCTCGTCAGGCACAATTCTTTCATCGACCGAAGACTTCTTTAATTTTACGAAGAGAATAAATGAAGAAGCTGCTGCATTAAGAATCTCAAATGAACCATCGAGAATGTATATCAAGCGTTACTTTCTTCTGGTCGGTTCAAAGAATTAAATGGTAAGGCATTTATTGTTTTGATACGATGTAGAAAACATTTCTTCTAGGACGAATCAAAGATATTCGGCAAGTTTATCAATTCGATCCTAAAGATGAATTTAATATTTTCTGTCGGAAAACATCAAGCTCTTTCGCTGACGATGAGTTCACTCTTCGAACTAATACTACTGATGAACAAATCAAAAGAATAGAAGATATTTCGATTGATCATATCGTGATTGTTAACGAGGATGACAAGCACTTTCTTGCTAAAGTGATCGATGTGAGAGAACCTATGGAGGAAGTAATTCTCGAACGTTATGAACATTGTCTCTCTTTATCATCATATATAAGGTGTTCCAGCAAAGCCAAGACAAAGGCAACTATCCCGTACAAAAATATTATTGCACACTTTATTTGTTCATCAGTATTTGGTAGACGAAATCAACTATCACTGTCGAAAGAACAATTTCAAGATATTCAGAAACCTTATGCGTAAAGTATTGATCTTTGTCGAGTCATATAATTATGATTGATCTCGAATACAAAATCAATTTGAACATGATTTCTTTGGTTATCATTTGATAATAATAAAAATTTTCTCATCAAACTATTTCTAGCTTCTCATAGTTCCGCGGATGGCGCATATCTGATGTCTCAGTATGTTTTAACAGCCATAGATTATATATTCTTACGCATATGAACCTTTCATATCACATTCAATTGTAAAAGAAAAAAATTTTAAAGCTATTTCATCATAAAACTAGTAAGCTAGTAACCTAATAGTAAAAATTGAAACCGACAATTTTTAACACAGTCTACCTCGTAGAGCTCTTCGAGCTGATCATTTTGATAGAAAAGTTTTTGAAAATCGACCCTATCTATACGGTGCTAGAGCCAAAACGCGGAAAATTCGGGTTTGAAAACTTGCGAAGGTTTTGACGGTATTTTGGCTATAAAATAGGTAAAAATTGACCGATAAGGAAAATTGTTTTACTAAAATGATCACCATTAAATGCTCTATAAAACCATGTATGAAAAAAAATTTGAGAATCTCGTGTTTTCTGTGGTTGACTTCCCATGGAACGATCCATGAACTAAATCATCTTATGCATTCGGGGTCAAATGAAATATCATTCGAATTCATTGCATGTTGTCTCATTTACTCGCATATATACGCCCACCATGCAAATTCTCAAGTTTTTCTATTAAAAATCACTTTCACCCTCAAAATATATCTACAAGTATGTCACAAAGACTCATAGAAAAAAGTAATTATAAAATATTTCGTTACGTATTCAAAACAAATGCGAAATAGTTATGGATATATAAACGGTTTCATCTCATAAACAACTTACTCATGTGTGGCAATACATCAACAATAAATGTATCGATACTTTCTTGGTATACAAGAAATGAAAAAAATATACATCTATACAACTTTTCAACTAAGTGTGAACTGTTTTCACATAATTGCTGCAGCTTACCAATATATAACGAGAGCTTGCAACGCAATCCCACACGAAATTAGAAATTCGAAACACAATAAAAGTGACACACCCTGCAATACCTTGATTAATACTTTTCTCGTTTGAAATTAATACAAATATAAGGATGAGGAAGGAGACGATGAATAGAGGACACGGTATTATCATGTAGTCTTTTTTCCCTTTGAGCACAGCTATGGTGATCATACCAATTTACACGTGCATCTATCACCGTCTGTAGGGAGAAGTGTGCACATTTCAACCATTAAACACTTTAACACTCTTTTCCAGATCGTACTGAACGAATAAATTTTCTTCCGTGTAATTTTTACTCTACATAAAAAAAATCATTTTGTGTTATGCTACTGTTTTATATCTAAAGAACTGACATTCATCGATTTTTGTTTACACTCCCTTTTGATAATTAAAAGAATGTGACATCATTAAGAATATATGCATAAAATAAACGAACAAATAATAAAATGCACATATATGCACACTCACTCACGCCTTGATTGATCGTCAAATCTTTTTTCAATTTACCAACTTCTGTTAGATAGATGAAAACGAAATAAATTTTTTGTATTTCATTTAATTTCTATGACATACTGCAATACTTAGTTGTTTATTTCTTTTTATACTTTCTCATTAGAGTTCCGCGGGATGCGGGATACATCCCGTCCTAAGACGAGATGGGACGATGAAATTGAAGCTATAAGCAGGACAGGACCAACAGCTCCACTTTAGTGTCCGGTAACATATACAAATTGAGCATACGTGAATGGATGAGTAGTATTCAAGTTAATTCCTATCGACGCCCAAACTTGAGTCTCTAATTTCCGACTTGACTCTGCTCGACCCCCGATAAGTTTCGATCTCGACAGTCTGGAACGAAGTCCGACGCTCTTGGACATTGAGCTTTTAGGTGCCATAACTTAGAATTTACAAAGCAATTCTGAACAAAAACGATACTTTTCTGATCAATTTCACCTGGTTTAAACTCACTAAAGACTGATCGACTCCTACGGCGAACGAGCACAAGACTCTCTATTTAGATTAGCACATCTTTAATTATTTCCTGTTCAAACGAAAAATATCGAAAACTTTTTCAGTAATGGTCGGTGATCTTATTAAGTGTTAAAATGAATGATTTCGGCTAAAACAGACAATAGAAAATGAAGCGAGCTGGGACGAGTTTATGGTTGCCCCGCGTCGCTCTGTTTCTCATTATCAACAATTAATTTTGTTTTAGTTTATCGAAAACGTCTCATTAACATTCAACCACAAGAACAAAATTATGAATTCTGATGAACCAAAAAAACCGCGTATGAAAAATGTTCGCATACAAACTATGGAAACGGCTATTCCATTGGATGATGAAGTGAGAAAATATCAACGACCATCACCTGCCAATAAAAATGTTCGTACACGAACTAAATTAATGTTCGATGGATTTAATAATGAAATAATATCCCATGATCGACATCAACGAAAGGTACCACTTCAAATTCTCAATGATTCATCAGCCATGCCCAGCAGGACATATAAAACATTTGACGATCAAAGCGAATTTATGGAAAATGAAATTATCGCAACATCAACTCCACCCATGAATGGCGATCAGCAAATTGAGACAACTGTTAATATTGCAAATGAAAATGAATTACCATCAGATCCTATTATTGAATATGCGAACGAACTAATCTTACCACTTGCTGAAGCATGTGCTCCTCTTAATGATATTCTACATAATCTATCATTCTATGTTGATTTAGCTTTAAATGAAACACCTCCACAACCACCTAATAATCTTACTATCGATGAAAGTGCTGCTATTCGTTTATACACTATTGAATGGGATGCTCCACATCGAAGTCTTTATTCTATGCTTAATTATACTCTTAAAAATTTAAATCGTGAAGAACTTCGACCTTATTTCAAATATATGAAATTATTCATTACTGCTCTTGTTAAATTGCCATGTGTTCCACAATGTACTATTTGGCGAGGTGTAACAAAAGATTTGAGTAAAGAATTTCCGCCAGGTACACCAGTAACATGGTGGGCATTTTCATCATGTACGACTGAATTAACTGTATTAGAAAATAACATGTATTTGGGTAATAGTGGATCTCGAACATTATTTTCTGTCGAAGCTATTAATGGTCGAACAGTTCGGGAACATTCACATTTTGTTACTGAAGATGAACTTCTTCTCTTACCTGGTACACACATGATAGTTCAATCACAATTTAGTCCAGCACCTCAAATGTATATTATTCATATGAAACAAGTTATTCCACAAGATACTCTTCTTCAACCACCATTTGAGGGTATTCATATACACATAGTAAAATTTTATTGTTCTATACTACTTATTTAGGTGCACACATATACCCAAAGAAGAGGTAAGTTATACATATATAGAGAAAGATGGACAAAGACGGACTCTTTCGAGTACTTTCTCCATCTTTGTATCATCTATATTTTGGTTCAATTTGTTTATTTGTTTTGTTAGACGAAGTTGGTATAGGAAAAAACGATATGCCATTCCACTCTTCTCATTTATAACTTTAGCAGTAGTAGGCGCTATTGTTGGCGTTATTTTAGCTATAAGAGCTAAAGCTAACGTTAATGAAGGTATGCGTTACAGATCTATGTACATATTAATTTTCATCTTCTTCTATAGTACAACGGTGTAAAACACCTTATCTAGGTAGTAGACAATGGTATTCTACTGGTCTTAATCCTGTCGGTGCAACATTAAACGATTTTAATAATGATACATTCTTAGACGTTTTCGTGGTCAATCAGCAAGATAATGATGTAACTATGATGTTTGGCCGTGGGAAAGGAAGATTTCGATCTCAAACTACAATTGCAACAGGTTATCGCCCGAACCAAATAGTATTTTCTGATTTAAACAACGATAAAAAAAGTGATGTACTGGTAGTCTGTGAATCTGATAATACAGTGAATGTAATGCTTAGTAATGGTGACGGATCATTTCAAACACAAAAAGCTTATTTCGTTGGATCATATCCAGTAGATGTAACAGTGAACGATTTCAATGGTGATAATATACAGGATTTGGCAGTAATCAACCAAATTGGTGATACTGTGAGCATATTGCTCGGTTCGGGATATGGAATTTTTTCTAGTTCAACTACATTACAGGTTGGATCTACGCCACAGGCTATTGTATCAAGTGATTTGAACAATGATAATGTAGTAGATTTAGTAGTAATCAATTATAATGCCAATTTCATCAGTATACTACTTGGCTTTGGCAATGGATCGTTTGACTCACAGGTAAAATACGATACTGACATTGGTCTATCAGATGTGGTAGTTTACGATGTTAATAATGATAACAACATGGATTTGATAGCAGTAAACTACATCTTTGGTGAGATGATGGTGTATTATGGATTTGGAAATGGTTCAATTGTATTAATAAATTCTTTTGATATTAGTTCTACACCATATGCAATTACGTCGAGTGATTTCAATAATGACAATCATACTGATTTAGCGATATCTGATATTGGCAATAATATTGTCAATATACTCTTTGGTAAAGACAATGGCACATTTACAAACGCAGCTAAATATAATGTTGGTGGTGGTCCAATTTTCATCACATTAAGTGATTTCAATAATGATGGCTATGAAGATTTAGTTACTACAAATAGTAGAGATGATACTATTAGTATATTGATTGGTAATAAAAACGGTACTTTTCAGGTGCAAGTCACTTATAATGTCGGAACACGACCGATAGGTGTTGCATCAGGTCAATGTGATTCTGATGATATAAATGATATTATTGTTATTAATAATGGTGATAATACAATTAGTATACTCTTTGGTGCTTCAGATGGGACATTTCCTTCGTCGCCAAGATATATAGTAGGATCTCAACCAACATTTATCATATCAAATGATTTTAATAATGATACGATATTAGATGTTGCAGTGACAAGTAACGATAAAAGTATTGTTAGTATTTTACTTGGTCTTGGTAATGGTACATTTCCGAAATTAACAACTTGTTCAACCGATCCATCTCCTCAATTTATTATCACAGATGATTTTAATAACGATACAATATTAGATTTAGCTGTGACTACATATGATGATAATATCAATGTCTTTCTAGGAAATGAAAATGGAGCTTTTGGACAAAAAGTAGCATATAGTGCTTGTTCATATCCTTCTTCATTACTCTCTGGTGATTTTAATAATGATGGTATAAAAGATATAGTTGTAGCTTGTCCATATGACGATGCGGTTTATATTTTTTTTAATAATAATAGTGATTTTTCTGGTGAACCAATTAGTTATTATGCTAACTCGAAACCATGTTCAATAACATCAAATGATTTTAATAATGATAGCTATTTGGATATTGCAGTTACTAATTGTAATACAAATACTATTAGCATATTACTTAATTACGGAAATAAAACATTTTCGGATTTAAAAATATTTTTTGTTGGTCAGGGGCCAATATCAATAACATCAAATTATTTTAATAACGATAATAACTTAGATTTAGTTGTTACAAATAGTCTTAATAATACAATTAGCGTTCTTTTCGGTAATAATAATGGAACATTTCAAGATCAAATTATTTATCCAACAGGTGAATTACCATATTTTGTTTTATCAAATGATTTGAATAATGATAAGCATCAAGATATTGTTGTTGTTAATAATGGAGATAATACCATTAATATATTTTTAAGTGATACAAACAATTCATTCAAATCTAAAGTTTCATACATGGTTGGAAATAGTCCACAATCACTTACAATTAATGACTTTAATTATGATAAAAAACTTGATTTGGTTGTTACTAATTATATTGACAGTACAATTACTCTTTTGGTTGGTTTAGGAAATGGAATTTTCGAGAGTTATTCACAATATTCAACTAGTATTGCTCCTACTTCTATCATATCCAATTATTTTAATAATGATGATAAACTCGATTTAGCAATCGTTAGTGCGAATACTAGTACTATTAATTTAATCTATGGTGACATAAATAAAATCTTTATAGGACAACAAATCTATAAAACTGGCCTTAAACCTGATTTTGTTCTATCCAATTATTTCAATAACGATAACATTCTTGATCTTGCTATAGCTAATACGGCCAGTAATAGTATAAGTATTTTATTAGGTAGAGGAAATGGATATTTTAATCATTATTATGATTTTTCCGTTGGGTATCAACCGTCTGCATTAGTATCAAATGATTTTAATCGAGATAATCTATTCGATATTATTACAGTTAATAGAAATAATAATTCAATTACTGTTTGGCTAGGTTACGGAAATGCAACATTTATATCAAAACAAACATATAAAGTTGGACAATATCCGGTATATATAACAGCAAATTATTTCAATAAGGATAATTATTTAGATTTAGCTGTTATTAATCAAAATGATAATACGATTACGCTTTTATTTGGTAAAGGAGATGGAACATTTTTTACTTCAGCAAATTATACCGTTGATAATGGTCCGTCTTCTATTATATCATATGATTTAAATAATGATACATATGTCGATTTAGCAGTAACAAACTACGTTGAAAATACTGTAAACATTTACCTTGGTAATGGCGATGGAACTTTTGAAGAAATTAAAAGTCTTTCAACTGGTGTTGATCCCAGTTTCATATTGGCAGGTGATCTTGATGGCGATGAACGTTTAGATTTAGTTATTACAGATGCACTTGCTAGTACTATATCTATTTTCTTAAATACATGTAAAATTTAATCAACAAAAAGTTAGTCCATAAAAAATACAAACAATTCAACTATCTTTTTTGTCATTGTATTTTTTTATTCTTTTCTCATATATTTTACATGTAAAATCTTTTACTCTCTCTAGATACTTTAATCTGCTAAAATGAGTATAAATAATTTTTCATGATTCTATTGGGTTTTTATTAAACATATTCGAAAGGAAGAAAATTGCATCTACTGTCAAATTATAAAATATCTATGGCCAATCAATTTTGGTAGACAATGACAATAGGATTACGAGAAATGAGTAGAAAGATATTTGTTTTGAAGAAAATCTAAGGCATGGACTAAACAAAGTTTAAACTATTTGTGAAGCTTAGAAATATTCTGTCACAAAATCTTTCAGAACATCTGCCGACACCATGATTCCAAGATTTAGGAGACTGCGAAACTTGACAGCAGATCCTGAGATTTCATGATAGGAATTTCGGGTACTCGTGTTTCATAACTTTTTTGTAAAAACCATATGAATATTTAAAATAAATTGAAGCGTTTACTTATGGAGTACAGAAAACTTTCATTTTGAGAATTCTTTCCATATCTATGAAAAATCTGTGTTTTGCAATATGACAAACTACTTTCAATTCGGCTCTCAGATTTTCGTACTTCAATTAATAATATATTACAACATTCTGTTATAATAGCGTAAAAACCAATGATCACTACGATTCATTCCAAACAAAATTGACATCACATTTAATGTTACTTAAACTTATATAAGACTAATTTCCTCGTCAAGTAACTTTCTATGACCGAATGGTGCCCTCACCCACACACCCTCAGTGTGATATAAGTATAGAAGGTATGATTAGTTTTTCTTTGTCGTTGCAAGAAAAGAATTACTGAGGATTACTTCAATCTAATTGAAACATAATCCAGAGCCTTGACTTAGCAAGTTCTTTTTTCTCTTTAAGAAATCTTCTTGAATACTAACCAATTGCTCAAGCGAGTTCATCGTCGTCTATTTGTTTTTGTAACAAAATAAAATAATACTTTTCTTTTTTAGAATTCGTTTCGCTTCTGTCAACAAATGTCTACCGATAGTAATGTTAATAATAGCGGTACTATGTTTATTAATTCAGAAATCTCTTTGCCACGTATAGCTCGTTTTTGGTTGATGCTTCTCTTTAATATTCCATCAACAATCTGTAGTATGTGTCTTGTTTCTTATATACTTATAACTCGAACACAGCGACAAGCACTACACAATCATACTATTCTTGCTATATTAATCTTTGGTTTACCTATTCAATTTATTGATATCAATTTTTATCTTGCTTTCTATCATAATGGTGTTGTACAACCACCTACACATAGTGTTTGTCTTTTATGGTGGTTTACTGATTTGGGCTTTTATACTGGAGGTGTTATTTTGATGGCTTGGTTAGCTATTGAGCGACACATTATAATATTTCATGATCGTTGGCTTTCAACTAGGACTGGGCGGCTCTTATTTCATTATCTACCACTAGTTATTTTCTTTCCACCGTGTGAAGATACTTATGATTACACATTACCAGTATGTAATGCCTCACCATGCTATCAATCGTATGGTATTTTTACAATGTGGGAATTGATTGTCAATGGCAGCATACCAATTTTCCTAGAAGGTATAGCTAGTGTAGGTCTTATTATTCGTGTACAAGTACAAAGGCGGCGTCTTTATCAATCAGCTCAATGGGGCAAACAACGACGAATGATTATTCAGCTATTTTTGGTATCTGGTTTAAATATGAGTTTCAATCTACCAATTTATTTTATACCCATCCTTCGTCTCTGTGGTTTACCACCAGACTGTGGTGTACAGGCTGAACTTTATTTCTTTTTTCTTGGCTATTTTGTTATTTTTCTCTTTCAATTCATACCAAGACAAGCGCATCATACAGCAATAGTTATACCTTTAGCAATGAAAACCGCACCAACGAATAAAGCAGCTTGAACTAATCCAACAAAAACGTTTTATTTACATTTCAATTAATGTTGTTCTGTTTTGTTTTACAAAAAAAAAGCATCAGAGTGACATAGTTTCACCCTGACACTGATAAAAGACATATATGTTTTACAACGGACAAAAAGCAAGTAGCACTCGTCGTTTTCAAAGTATTTTCTATTATATTCATTTCCGCGTGAAATCACGTTTTAGTATACACGCGCATCATATTCTTTTGCTGAAAATATAGCATCCCATGCCCGCACCTTTGACCTGTGTCATCATCATTCTCTCCTGATGGTAATCTCTTTCGATACTTCGAATAAAACATTGATTGAATTTTTATACATACATTTAGATGGTTCTAATAATTATAACACATTGCAAAAAACAAAACCTTAACTATTAGTGAAATATTCATTTGTTGAGTGACAAATTATTTGTTATTCCTATCGTTAATGATCACTGATGAGGACTTGGACCATAGTTTTGGTAATTGGGATGCGAATCTCTGATAGAAAAAAAATGTCGAACGAACAAGTCTACAGTTTCGATATGAAAGAGATAAGAGTGAGTAGAATAAACAGGTTAAGTTCGGAAAATAAAGCATGACTGAAAACGCACTTTCAATGATTTCTGACTGAAGAGAAGTTTTTCATTTCAGATGCGTTTAATGTCCGTATAGTACGGGTTAATGATTTCAATAGGTCGATTATTTTCATTCTTATTAAATCTTCCAATGTGACTTTGACATAATCAACAATCGATTGAGAGTGAGTATGTTTGTTGAGTTCATAAAGATGATCCTCGAACAACTACATGTTCAATTTTAACAATTTGCTACACAAACAAAGTTTAGATGGCAATCTTTCACAAATTTCGCGATCTCAACATCGGTATTTATGATAGTCCAACTACTATATAATGTTAATAATTTTAGCTTGCACCAATGAACTTGTTTTTCTCGTGTTCTTGTGTTAAGTATGTCAGCATGTGTCTTAGCATCAAGTTTAGCATTACATCATATAACACACCATAAATTGATCATCAATTTCAATTTTACCGTAAAAAAACCAGACTCTACGAGTGATCTAGCAAAAACAATAAATACAAAATAATCGCCTTATCTGGCGAAGATGCCGTCGTTTAGGAATAGTCGAAGTCATTCCATCGCTAATGTTCTCGCTAGGATCATTCCTCCAATATCCTGACGAATTTTCGCACCCTCACCTCATCCTTTGATTTAGTTTATATCGTGTCACGGCGGTTTCTCATCAATTTTGCATTTGTGTTTTTCGAGATCTTTTGTTCCACGAATGCTAGAGACCTAAAACAAAATAATCGAGATGCTAATAAAATCCATAGGAAAAAAACCTACGATAGAATTGATAGTGAAATAATAGCGATACCTGCAAACACCAAAAAGACTAAACCTGGTAGAAAGTTAAGTGTAGCATTGTAAATACTATTCGCAGCAGCACCCACTGCTGAATGGCCAACTGTTTCAATAATACCAGCAGCTATAAATACAATTGCATATTCATCTATTTCAATCTGTTTCACTATTTTAGCTCGAAGTATAGGCATAATCATGAAAGTTAAACTTCCAATGCAAACGCCAATATAAAGTAACCAAATCGTCTTTGCAAAAGCTAAAATAATAAGATTTCCAATAACAGCAAAGATTCCCATAAATAATGGTAAATATGAATTATCAAATGGCTTATTAATCAATGCAGTAATTGTACTCCAAAGAAATACAAGTACAGCTTGAGCAGTTGAAAGTAATCCAACATGTAATGCATCCAAACATAAAGGTTGTCCATATAAATAAAGTGAAAGGACAGATAAATATCCAAATACTGCAACTTGAATTAAAATACTTATAATTGTTATTAATAGCAATAGTTGTCGTTTATTGTCAGATCGTTTTTTTGTGTATGCTGTTACAATATTAATAAGATATTTTAAACGAATAAGTGTTAACTGTTTGAAAAAAGACATATTTCGTCTAAAACAAAAGAAAGGAAAATTTCTCAAACGATGAATACTATTTGTATTCTCACACGTTGTCGATTGATTCTGGTTGTATAAATATTGCATAGATTAGAGCAATTACACTCAAACTCAAACAAACACTCAATGGTACAGTATACTGAAAGTAACGCAACCAAATTCCTATTGCTAATACTGGTATTATACGAGCTAAAAACATAATAGCTTCAGTTAACAAAAATGCTCGTGGTCGATTTGATGTATTTGTACAATCAGTAACATACGCAAGTGCACCTAACATGATTAAACCACCTGAACCAAATATAGAATCTAACGCGCGAGCACTTAAGATCCATGTATCAGATAGATCACGATGAACAATAATTAACATTGATGAATACCAAATAATCTTTCCAATGAGTGGTAAAATGATCAATGGCCGACGTCCAATATGATCGCAATTTGCACCAAGTAAAATAAATGTTAAACCTGCAGGAATAAGTCCAACAAGGGAATTTTTTGTATGAAAACTAGCTGCATCTTGTTGAACTTTCGAATAATCAGGATGATTTTGATCATTAGAATAAAATTGCCAATAGGATTGAGATGAAGAAGTTGTTCTTTGAGATTTTATACAATCTTTATGCTGTGAACCTGGTGATGTATCAAATCCATAACGACGCTCATAATGACGTATAATAAAATCATTCATAAGAAGTGGATCTGATGACTGAATCAAAATTATCAATGTTAAACATGGTAAAACAAGCCACCAACGTGGAGTTGAAGTAACTGTTGCTTTATCATTACGCGATTTCGATGACGTTGATTGAAACAATTTCTCTCTTTGATTAACATCGAGCGGATCGGCTAAACGATACTTTCTTGGATACATTTTGATTTATTGAGCTTGATAAATTCATCGAATAGGGTGTTTGAATAGGAGTGAAAGGAGAAACTTTCTGTATGAAAACAAGGTCAAAAGAAGAATGTGCCTATCGACAGTCTATGTTCAAACGAAGGTCAATGTCTTTCGTTATAAGAAGCCAAGAGAGAGAAAAAAATTGATTCTATACATATATTGAAGTGCTGAATTGAGTCAATTATTGAAAAAAATTCAAGGAGATCATTACTTTGATTGAAAAAATAGAACACATCTAACATACTGAAGGTTCTAGAATAAATTTTCTCAAGTAAAACTAATTTAAATCTATGCAACTAGCTCCGTTTTCTATCAACCTGGATTCTATATTCAATCATCCAATATATCTTGTAGTACAAATGTACTTTTTTCATTCTTATTCTCGTTCTTTGATATTCTTCAGATGACCGAACATTTTTTTTTCTTCGTTCGTAGAATGATTGAATAACCCACACATCAACTCAACTTCTCATAAATTGTTGTACATAAAGCATTTGAACAAAGGCTCTCGTCGATGAACTAGTAGAATTTTTGCACCATACTATGATTCGTCATTTACTCCTTTAAGCTTTAGAGAGATTTTGACACAATTATAGACGAAGTGAACAGATTAATGAAACACGAATAACAACTCTTGTTCAATTTTATTCTTGATTAAGTTCATATTTTATTGAATAAAAGAAATTTTCTTCATTCGACATATACTCCTAAAAATAGGAATGACAGATATATATCGATGTATTCAACAGACTCCTTCACATGTAAATAACCATATTTTACAACGACGACAACCAAATCAATAAATTTAAAAAAAAAACGATACTACTATAATTTATCCTCTTCTCCTTCTTAATTGAATTGACCACCTCAAGAGAAAAAAACACGAAAATGCAAAGAAAGGTATGAATCCAGACATTACTGCATATGCGATTGGTATTTGAGTTAATGAAAATTTAAAACAAAGTGATATATAGTATCGTTAAGACAGACAACATTTATTATTAGATATAAGTTCAATAGATATACCTTTGACATCAGATTTACTCTTCTTCTTATCCTTTAATGAAACTTCTGATTTAGTTTTCAACTATAGAATAGATTATTCAGTATATAAAACCGATATCTTGTTAAAAAATGAATACAGAAGAACTCTCATTTTTGACCGACGTCAACATCTTTATTGAAACAATAAATAGCAAAAATGGGAAAGTTCTTCGTTTTTAAGATTCGCCTGCATTTCTCACACCCGCAAGAAAACGTCGAAATCGAAAGGGTTAACTTAATTAAACGAAATTTTTCAGAATAGAGGAAACATTAGTCAGAAAAAATTAGGAAAAGAAGCATTTAATTCGAACAACTGCCAGCAATGGATTGCCAACTTCCATTGACTTTACATTTGCAAGACGCATAAGCAAAACCGCGACATGAACCAGTTACAGCACCAATATTCTTTCCCATACAATTAGCTTCACAACGTGCTGAATTCCATGGACATCCGCACGTACCAGCTGAAACGGAATCTATTCAAATACACATAAATTGACGTATTATTCAAATATTTCTTATTATTTTTAACTTACCTAATGTCATTCCGAAAACCAGCACAAGTACAACAAGAAAAATGAGAGCACGAGCCATTAGAAAATATTTTTCAATGATATCGAAATCAAAATAATTCGATCCTTTTATACTTTTTCATAATAATAGAATTTACGCACGAAAAAAGAAGCAAGTAGATTATTTTTTAATGTAAAGTAGATAGGATAAATTATAATTCTCATTATTACTATGTAAAAGAGATTATGAATCACGTCGAACGTCACTTTCACTTTGAAAAGAATAAAAAAGAAAGAATTACTTTTAATGCAAATGTTATTCTATACAATATTTCAAACGAATAAGTATAGATGCATAAATTTACGATTTCACAGAAGAGTTCAGGTTCCTTTTTTTCTTCGAGTGCTATTTTAGCGCGGGAATGAAAACTTTCATCTTGAAATAGATTCTTTAAAGAGATCTTTTCAAAAATCTAATTGTGATGAATACGTAAAGAGAAAATGTTGACTACCAAAGAAATTGCGTAACGCGAAAAAGAATCGTCTTTCACTTTATATCGATTAAATTGGGAGTACACGCTGAAACGTCAACTTTCGCAATGCAATTATAGCTGAATAATATGAAAAATGAATGTATTAAACAATTAATAAACAGAAGTGAGCAGATTAATAAAACAACGATAATAACTGTTGTTTATTGATAATGAAAGGATTAAGTGATACCAGTCTTTTTCCTTTAAAATATAATTTATATTCCGAACTAATCGATAAACAAGAACTCATCAGACGAAATATCATATTAGAAGATGATAGTAAGCTTTAATACGTGCTACTCTCGTTCATAAGGAATGCATTGAAACATCTGAAAAACATTTTCTTAATAAATTTATGTTACATGTGATAGACACGTATTCGATGTATTTAACAGACTCCTTCATGTGTGAAAAACAGTATTTAACAACTAATATAATGACACATGTTAAACATAATACTGCTGTAATTATCTGCCTTCTCTCTCGTTGCATACCAATTTTAGTTCTCTGTTTTTGTTTCTCTATCCGTTTGAAATGCATCGTCAGGATGATCAATTTGTCACCGAGTAATTCATGTTGACTCGATTATTAATTGAATCGACTATCTCAAGAGAGAGAAAAACATGAGTTTAATAATAATGTTTTATTTTCAAATCAATCATCAATGATTCTCAACTACAAAAACATATGCGTATTAAAGAAATTAAGCCGACTAGATTAGTCAAGTTATTTAGGAATATGATGATTGCAATTAATAAGAGAATTAAATGAGAAGATACATCAAATAAAACATTCTGTCATATTTTAGATGATGGTGAACTAAACGATTCGAAAATAATCAGGTTATAACTATTGACTATCTACTATGTTCTCGACTTTATTCCGTGTATAGTTTTGGTTTTGTAGATTATCAAAACTATCTGATTAGTCCTTGTAATTAAGACGAAATCGATTATGTTAATTAATTATTTACACTCAGCTATACTCTCAATAAGTTTAACTAATATTATAGTCGTTGAGTTAATTCTTAATTGTTTCAAAAGGAATCTTCATAAATTGGGTATAAGAAAAATCGATAGTTTCTCTTTCTTCGACATTGTCGATCTTCTAAAAGTGTTCTGCGACAATAAACTATTAGTCTTCCTTGATTTTGTAATGTAACCTCTTCAACTTCCTTTTCATCAATAAATCGTCGCAATTTACATAATTGTTCATCTATGGATGGTAATGAATGACACTCTTCCATATCCTTGTAAATTACTTTAGTGGACATTGTTGTTGGAATTTGATTTTTTAGCAAAGCCATTAATTTTTCTTTCTTAGTTGCTCCGTCAACGGCATCATCTTCGTTTTTATCAAACGATTCAAGTAATTCTATAAAAACCTGACTAAATATATAATCACGACGGTCTGGGCAATATTTTTGCATGACACCAGCAAAACCTTCCAATGTCTTACAGTTCAGAGCAACATAAATAACGAGATGGGAATCTACTCCGTAATTATGAACTACAGTAGATTGTTTCTCACCTAAAATAGACATCAGATCTCATTTTTTTTCCATTTAGTTTTCTTGAGTTGACTACTCACATTGGAATTTTCCATCAATAATAGATAAAATATTTTCTTTCTTTGGTAAATATAAAAGTCCTCCACTATTTGTATCGGAATATATCAAATAATAAAATGTAATTAAGAATTCATATCTTAAAGTATCGTAATCAAAATGTTTTTCAATGTAATCTTCATCGATTTGACAACGAATTAACATAGCTCGAATGAAATCGGGTAATGGTAAGAGCAAACTTTTAATATAATCCAATTCGATTTCCTTACGTATTGTTCGTGCCTGAGTTTGTTCCATTATTTTTTTTGATGTTAATCGAATTGGTTCAGACAATATTTCATGAAAATAATCGATAAAAGATCTTTCAATAAAATCCGGTACGCTGTTTTCGACTAATGTGTTTGAATTATTCTCACTTGAAGTAGTTGGTAAATCTTTTACATTACAACCATAGATAAGATTTTCTACAATTGTTTTCACTTTTGTTGAATTTTTTGGATATTTCTTTAGATATTCTTGTCGAAGATATTCATAATAAATTGGTACGAGAACAGATGTAAGATCGTTTCTTAAATAACCAATCATTAATGGTATAGATAAATCATAATCTTGAGTATTCGCAATGGGTAATCGATTCAATAGTTTTTCATGGGTCTTTTCACCAAATGGTTCGGCAGTTTTAAAACCTTGGGATTCATCGATTATAAATCGACATACTTTCTCTAATTCGATTAAGATTTGTTTTTGTCGTTGGGTATTTGGACTTTGTTGAATAATTTCAAAGAGTAATTTTAAAAGTGCAACTTCTTGTTGTTTATCATATCCGTAACTATCTAACGTATAGAGATAACCAAGCCAAATACCTTCAAGTATACGTATTCGTTTCATATGTTCATCATTGATATACAAAGGTATGACTGCATTGATTTGTTCGTCGGCGAGAGCACCAGAAATAGAATAGAGATCATTTAAAGTAGTGAATTGTCCTTGAGCTTGTTGATTATTTTTTGCTACATTCATTCCATTGATAAATGAGTCGTAAGAAATTATAGTGTTGGTCACTTTCAAAAGTTTTAAACCTTTCGCGGGATTGTTGATGACTTCTTCGTCACGTTGAACAAAAATACCCAAACATAAGATATTATCGGTTGATTTTCTCATAACTTCATAGATATCTTCATTAGAATAGATATCTACCCAATCCTGTTTCTGTTCTTTAATCTGTTGCCATGTATTCGGCGTAATAGAATCTTTATATCCTTGTAATATCCCACTGATATCTGTTTTTTTGAAATAATTGACATTCTTGTAGACTCTCAAGTCCAACTTCTTCTTTCGTTGGGTATTCGCAAATATTGGATCATGTCTCAATGCACTCAATTGCAATTTGACACGTTCGGGTACTTGAGTCATATTCAATTGTGTGAATAACTGTCGATATTCCATCATGCGTTGATCGATTTCCTTGTAAATTTCTTCGGCTTCCAGACGTTCCGCAAAATTTTTGCTATTTGTTATTCGAATATCATTCAAATAGGCTTGAATTGATTTGACCTGTTCTTCGTTTTCTGGCTGAATAAGATTCAGCGCATGCAGAAGATGTATCGCGCGGATGTCCTTCATCGGTAGCAGAGGAAATTGTGTTGCTGTTGTTGTATCATCAATGAGTGTCAGTTCGGTCATTGCACTGAGATCGTCACCATCGTTTGTAAGAAAGCCAACGGTTTCGTTATCAATACTATTTGCAATATAAGTTTTCCCATTTGGGAACTTGATAGTGAATTGACGAATATTCAATGCACATTCGAACATATCATTAAAATTATTCTGTAATTCTTTGGATTCTGTCGAATAACGAAAGAGACCTTGACGAGTGCCAAACGTTCGGATTTGATTAAGAAATGCGTCGTTCACTTCACCGAAACCGATCACATGGAACGTAATGGGAGGCAGCTGAAAGGGAACAAAGCGTCAAATTATTCGAAAAAATAGCTTTACTATAGATGACCTACATTTGTCATTCCACTCAATATCAATTTTAACATTTGAATACTCTTTTGCAACGCTGACCCATTTGGCTCATTATCTTGTCCATCAGTCATAAATATGAAGGTTATTGGCTTTTTTGCTGATGCATTTTGTAGAAGATAATCTTTGATGGCAGTAAATATACTGGCAAATGAAGTTCCACCACTGGCATGCAAACTTTCGTTTCGTTCAAATAATGTCTTTAATGTACGTTTGCCATCTGTCTGAGTATTGTACGTGAATAGACGATAGTCTTTTTGTGTACGTTGATATATATCACGTAAGACTTCACAAACATTGTTTATAGGACTACCAGACATCGAACCGCTGACGTCAACACAACAGACGATGTCCATGTCACCTCCAGTAGCAACAGCAAAGTGACTGGTTCCTTCCGGTTGTGAAAGTTTGATTTCTACATAGTTTTGCTGGTTAAAAAGTGGTAATTTGAAATATGCCGCCATGAATGCTTCTTGCTTTCAAAAGTAGCAAAGTGAGTAACGAAAAGTAGAATTTGTTGATTTATATATTATGCAGTTTCATAATTATCTTGTGTAATTATTCAAGAAGGAAAAAAACCTTGAGAAATGATTCATATAGAATGACGAGTTCTTGTTTCTCAAATATTCTAAGCACAAGAAAGTATTGCGTGTAAGCGTAATTTATTCTTGTATTGACGAACAAAAATAGTGTTTTATTATTCAAACATATCTTTGTTCTTTTCTACTAATCTATTAAGAATCATTTACCCACAATAAAAGTGGGTTTTTTTCCACGAGAAAAAAATCATCTGTATGCTATGACGGTGATAAGAGGATAAGAGTGATATACACACATGAATTGTCTATTTCAAGTTTGAAGAGTAGTGAGGTATGTTCAGATTTCCAAAAAAAGAAATTTCCGAAAAATCGATATCATATAATTCATCATGGATAATAGACAAGAGCAAAGGGCAGGGTAAAGAGACGAAGGAAAATCAAGAAATTTCGAGATATTTTCGGTAATTTCAATAATCCGAGGGATGAGAGTCGGGGTCTGGATTGAGAAACTTGTCACTCACCCTCGCCTCCATCCTCGAAAATTTCTTTTTTTGGAAATCTGCACACTGCTCCAATATAAACGAAAATAGTCATCTATCAAATGAAGATTTTTAAACAATTAATAATGATGCATGAAAACATAAATGATCTGAAGATTATATCTATTTGATTGTTTCGATAATAAAATCAACAGATGAGATATTTTTCTTATGTACGTATTATATTTGAAATAAATCAAAATCTTGAACTAGTTTGCGGAATTGTCCACACGTCATGCGTTAAATGAAATTCTTCAAAAATAGATTTAGCTTGTTCATTCGTCCATTTTGTCCAATTTTCATTCAGATGATTTCCATACCATTTTTGAGCGAATTTCCAAATATTTTCAATTGGTTGAATATCACCTTTTGCTATTTGATGTCGTTGACACCAAATATCGACTTCTATTTCCGATGTAAACATTTGCATAACACTACAGGTATAAACAACATTATCCCAAGCATGTCTCATTGGAATAGGAAAATGAATCAATACGCATTCATTAGTAATTAAGTGTCCATCTTTAATATGAATTCTAATCTGTTTGAATTCACCACCGAGTGTTGTAGTGATGGTTGTGTCTTCTTTGAGAAGTGCAGCGATTCCTAAACTACACCAAGCACAATTTCCCCACCATTGTCCTCTGGAGGATTCAACCCAGAAATTTGTTGGTGATAACGAAAATGGATGCGCAATCCACACTTCAAATGTTTTAGGGTGTAAAACAACACCATGATATTCTTGAAGATCTTTCAGATATTGAATTATTTCTTCTTGTGAACGCTGAAATACAGTTGAAAGACTCAAAATGGAAGGAGCAAAACCATTTTGAATGATATCTTTTAATATAATATGATGGATGCGTGATAAACTTAACTCCATATAAGATAACTAAGTATGAGGTCGGAGCGTTAGTGTAACTGTCGAGATAAAAAAATCGTCATTTTTTTTCTCCCTATCAAATTGTCCCTCTTTCTTTTTCGAATTTACTTATCTCATCAGTCGCATTTATTCTCGATATTAAGCCTAGCTGTATAACTTGAAACTTGAATTCGACTAATACATGTTTCAAAGGATTTTTTCATCCATCAAAAGTCAATTTCATCTCGAAGAATGATTAAGAAAATCTTCTTATCTAATAACTCATGAAGTCATGCTCTGGAAAAATTTCTATATCAGCCACTTCTAAATTTCTCATCAAGTCGGATTTTTTTAACCATAGATTCGTGTTTGTTTCATACTATTATCATGGGTAGTATTCGATTGGGCTGTTGCTTGATTCTTCTCATTATAGCGCATTTAAGTGGATCTGTGTATCTGAACATTATGATCATTAAAAATGTCGGAGAAACAGCAAGAAAGCAAAAAACAATACGGTGATAATATTTTGGCAGATCCATGAAAAATGAAATAACGACAAAAATGACATATGGAATTCCAAAAGTCAATAGAATATTCACAAGAACGACCGTACGTCGGACCATTTCCAAATCTCTCTGATTACGTAATAATATATTCACAGGCGTCGTTCGACGGTTCATTATTTTGACGTATCGAATTAGTTTCAAATAAATCATCATTAACAATGTTAAAGGAAACAGGTAAACCGAAAACATCATATAAATAATTGAAAATGACAATCGAAATGGCACAATACATACTTGATTATCAACAACATAAATAATTTCATTACGAAGGTAATATTCCAATGGACTGAGTATACTTATGATCCATATCAAAATGAGAAGAATCAACTGAAATTTCCATGATCGATAAAACAAACGAAATGGATACAGAGTACATAAGTAACGATGAAATGCCTGTAAAAGTAAACTAAAATTAATGACACTACATGTTACGTAACCAATATAAATACGGGCTGGACAAAATGAATCTGCATAAGAGATTTGTTCTAAATCATTGTGTAACATAAATAAAGCCATTCCAAAAAGATCCATTGCAAATAGAAATGTAGACAAACATAAATTTGCGACTAATAACATTGAAACTGAATGACATGTTTTATCTTTGATTATAATACATAAATAAATTAGTGACAATAATATTGTTATGAGAAGTGTTATCATCGAAATAACATTCACTGGAATATACCAAGTTTCAACGAAGAATGCTGAAAGATTTTGATTCTCCATCATTCGTTGTTTGTTACGATTAACTTAGTTTTAGTCTATCAAAAAAGATAATAGTATCAAGAAATCTCTTGAAGTCTGAAAATAGATTAAGAAAATGTAACTAGGAAAGAGATTTTTTTCTAGCCATTCAATTTCCGTTCCAATCTTCTTTTGATCTCTCATTTACAATAAACGCATACAACATCTGAGAATCCATTGTCAACATGTAACAAATAATTTGACGGAAGAAATTTATTTTCTTCACATAAGCAAATCTTTGCTTTTCATGTGAAACTATCTTAGTCGAACAATACGCTTGTTAGGAATCCGGTCGGAACCGATGTACAGATTTTGACCTGAGCCGTAAACAATTGTCAATCGTCAAATATAACATTATGGTGAAAGATGTTCATCAGATATCTATCAATTCAAAATATTTTCCAGTCATAATTTGATTGTAATCAAGATCCCCATACATTATCCTTATTTTAAATTCTAGTTTCATATCCAAACATTTGTCGATTTAATCGCTGATGAATCAGGCTTATCATGATGTCCAATAAGAAAAAAGAAAAATAATTCATCGAGTAGTATGTGTACTTTTATTTCTATTCAATTAAAAACTTTTAAAAACTTACATTACCCATTCAATAGCGACACAAGCATTATAACAGCAGAGGAAAACTTTCACAAGTAGATCAACTGAATTGGCGAATCAAAAGAGAGATGGTTAACGATGTCAAGAGATGTATTCCATGGTCAACTTTTTCAATTTCATTATTCGTAAGTGATGTGAGATTAACTAATCGTGCCATAGACATCAGAGTGTAAAGTGTGGGAACCAAAAACCACAACAATAAAGGAAATTCCTACCAAATCTGATGAGTTATTCGAACAGAGGCAAAGACGCCTGTGGCTTTTTCTGCATATCCACATATTCATAAAAACGGTTTCAGTCGCAATCTTGGGTAACAATCGTGATGTGAATCAGATGATTTTCTCTCTCCTTTCTGTCGGTACATTTATGGAATGTGAAACATATTTCATATCACTGACTATTGGAAAGTTTTGACATTTCATACTATGCCCTTAAAAATCCGAAACCGTATTATCTCCTGAGAGCAATCAAAAACAGATGAAAAATGACATGCTTAGAATCGAGAATATGTCAAATTCGATTTGAAACTAATGAGATCAAAGTGGTCATACACATCTGAACTATTTTAGGTTTACTAGTTGTCACGCTAGCAGTTGTAATTGTCTTTGTCGTGATCGCGAAGGATTTTCAATTATTTTTTTCATAATCTTTTTTCGACTTGACTGTAGGTAAACGAGGAACAAGCATTTCGTATAAACATAAAAATGATATTGAACTATCTTAGATTTTTATATTCGTTATTCCCTTATAAAGACTTGTTTATTACATTTTGCTTTTGAAACTAAAATTCTACCTGCCACTAATAATAACAACGGTAAACACAGTTAGAATTTGGTATAATGGTGAACAACAGAAACCTGTACGTCTGAAAAATTGACAAGGGTCGGATGTAATATGATAACGAATTTGAAGTTGAGTGTTTTCTCTCGTTATCCACACCTACACCCTATAGCAGGCGTCGTAAAATAGAGTGGTTCATAGGACGTTAACTAGTTCAAATTGCAAACATGATTTAAAAAACAAGTTAAAAACGTTTTCAGTTTTGAATTTCGTTCAGAATCGGGCAAGTCTCATAATATATAAGAACGGAAGTGTTTGGAGATACAGCTATAAAAAACGTGACATTATTTTGTTTTCGTAATACTTTTCACAGTTGAATAATCACAAGAAAGGAAGTCCACTCTTAGTATTTATAAAGAGGTAAATTAACGTACGGCATTCATCTTTGCATTGCGTGTTTCTTCAATAACAACACTGTTTTAATTTCTATAATACTAACAAGATGGGTCAAAACTCTTCTTCTGGTCGTCGAATGCATCACAATAGTGCTCCACTTTCACAAAGACAGCCACCACCCACGAACAATTTAACTCAACAACTTAATCAGTATCAAGCAATTCAAGAGATGAATAGAAGAATGCAAGAACAAATTAACTTAAATAATAGGCTTAATCGGGAACAATTTAGTCGCCGTTAGTTTATCCACTAATAGATCATGATGATGACACTCGATCATTTCATTTCATACTCAAGAAATCATATTTTTTTACGTTCGTAGTATCTTCTCGGAAATAAATTTCAATAATCGAGCAAAACTGTCGTTGATCAGCAGTCTCTATTCTGAGGGGCGGAAGTGAGAGTGAGATACATGCCAGTCTCTCACTTGAAGGCTTATAGTAGGGCAAGAAGAGATAGAAAATGATCATGCGTCTGGTTTTTTGGATTCTTTTACGAGAATTCACAGATATGATATCGCTACAATACAAACGTAAGTGAAAATATTAATAAACGTTATTTGTTCTACCGCGCGTTGATAAGAAGAGAGTTTTTGCAAAGTTCTGGAAGAATTAATCGTATAAATGTAAAGCCTGAACCTTCTATATGCACATACTGTGGTCGAAACGTCTGGGCAGTGCTGAAAAATCTTACACCTATAATGTTTAGGACTTTTTTACCCTGAAAAGTTCACAATAATCCTATCTATTATGTCTAAAAATGGGACTTTTAGAAATATCATCACTAAAAACTTCTCTTGCATTCATCAGAAGATAGAAATGTGCGAGCAACTAGTTGTGCTTGAGAAACGACACATTGCGAAAGCTATACGTAGGTGCTTTATGGCGTCTCTTTTAGTACGTATTTTTGTCCATCATACTTCCACTCTGACAGCTTTCGTGGATAAAACTTGATTCTTTTATCCAACAATCATTAATGCGATATCCTCTGGAAGGAACATCTCAGTTTTTACGGATTAGTCTGATCATGTGTATTAAGTTAACTAGATGTTTTTCTATAGGTATATTGATTGACATTCGAGACAGTTTAGAAGTTAGATTCTATAGTATAGATCACATTTAATCAAGTTCGCTTTCTTCACTCAAAGCAAAATCAACTGCTTAATTTCAATTCCGTGTATTTTACAGTAAGTATTTTGGTTATCTCAGAGCACAAGTATTTCGCTTTTTTGTCCATGTCGATCGGCTGTGAATCCGGATGATAATGCAGAAGTGCCTTTTTGGTCGTTTTCTGTAACTCTGAGGCATCCGTTGAGCCCAATGTAGCATTTTCTTTAGTTGGTGGGTGTGCTTTATAGATATGGCATTAAAATGCAGAAATACCACTTGTAGCATGCTTTTGAAGTGCAGCTAATTCTGACGCTAATTCAAGGCGTAATTGTTTGGTGGCAGTTTCAGTTGCCAGTTCTTCTTCTTGAACCTTTCGCTGGCGGTATTGCTGAACAAAAGCGCTGCTTGATACGTACCAGCTAATACTAGTCAAATTGCGCGGCACCATTGTTTGTGCTAATGTAACACAACGTAAGTGATATGTGTATGCGATGTCGGTCATTTTCAAAACGTTTTGATAAACTTTGGCTGAAAGATGCCAAGCTTCTGCTTCACCTATAAAATAAAATGGTGTAAATTGACTTTTAAAAAATGGAGCCTAATTCGCGAGGAATAGTCAATCAACAAATACAAAATTGGATAAGCTAGAAAAACTCTGCTCAATATTTTTTACCGCGTAAAACTGCGCTGGTGTTAAATAATGAATGCTGCTTATTTAGCATTGACGGATAAGGATGTAAGTTGAAGTCGTGATTCGTACTTAGATATTTTCTCGTTAAGCAATTGTTCTATTTCATTTTACCTTCAACATCTTGTTCACGAGAGAGTAAAATCGATTCTCGAAATTTGTCGATGACTATCCAAATCACATCCATATCCAAATGTTCATCTCCATTAAGATGTGCTTCTAACATACGGCTTCCAGCGCGCCGAGCGTTTGCGCTTTCATACGTACATTGATGCAACCAAATACTATGACGCAACTCAGCCACTTCGTCTGTTTGAAACTTATCCGGCGATTTTGCCCAATAAACAGCTCGTTCAAGATAAGGTTGGCATTCATAAATTAGTCGAGGTGATTGTTCAGAATTCATGATTGCTTTCTTGAACAATAGTTTAGCTAGTGTGTAGTACACAACAGCTATTGAATCTTGCCCCGCGAGAGAAGTAGACTCAAAGTAACGCACGAACGTATCCAAGACTTTGAAACGTTGTTCAAGAGGCAGGTTTAGCGTAGCGGCGTGCTGGTCATACACCATCTCATCAACTTGACAATACAGAACACTTAACCATTCTTGCGACTTGCATAATTTTCCTAAAAATACACAAGAGGATACGAATGCAGAGAAGAAGAATATCTATAATACCTCTTCAATGTACATATGATATCGAACTTCGTTAGTATTTTCTTTTAATATGCTGTGAGTTGGCATCTTATACCTGCCTCTATTACTTGATCATCTCTTTTTTCGTATTTCTGGTTGCTGTATTTCACTTTTCTGTCATTATTACTATTGCATTCATAATAAGTCTGCGTTTGTTTCCTTTTACATTTTAATTTGTACTGTTTTCCCCTCTTCCTTTCGCTTTGATTTTGTACTTTTAAAATCGAACGATTAGCTTTGTATACAAAATGCAACGAAGAAAAACTATAGAGATTCCGTCCGTATGGTATGTGATTAGAAATCACAGTATAATAGCTCGAATTTGATGACACCTATGTGCTTCTAGAATCTAGATCACTGTATACTTTCTAACAATGAGTCTTTTTACCGTATGTGTATGCTTGTCCGAATGAATTAATGCACTCTTTCTGACAATATTGAACATCTTTTTCAGTTGTTAAGTTCTTGACTGGATTATTAACATGATAGGCGTGTAGTACAGCAAGATTTTTATAGGCCGACGCATATTCGTCATTGGTAGTACTTGTAGCTAATGCTTGATTATAGGATTTTAAAGCATCATCGAGACGACCACGACGAAGTACCGGTGCAGCTCTGACACGGTAGAAGACATGTATACCTTTGTTTTCGATGAAAAATAATAGTTCTCACCAACACTCTTATTCGTCGCTGAAAAAAATTTTCTTCTGTTCTTATCGTATTCCGCAATTGACGATGATGCAACGCAATTCAAGATTGAGACAAAATATGTTGGTAAAAACCCGATGTAATACATCGAATTTTTCATCTCTATTGCGTTTAAGCTATTATATTCAAACGCAAATAGAAAAGTAGGGCAGAGCTTGAAAGTATTACAAAGCCGTGGCACGATACAATACGCGGCTTTGGACAACCACATCGCATTTCCGCGTTTCCATGGAAAAAGTGTTTTAATAATGCATGTGAAAGACATAAGCCAGTTACACAATTCTTCATTTACGTAAAATATCAAGAACAATATTCAGCAAAACTAACTATTTCTCAATCTTTCATCCACATATTTTGAATATTTAATTCTTTTATCGAAAACGAAGAACGTCGATTTTTCTTGTCCATTTATATTGGGTTGACACTTACGAGAAGGCAAAGCAATAGAAAAAGGGATAACGAAGGTACATCTACATTCGCAACATTATACACATCAATGATAGGAGATGTCTTGAGAGAAGAGAACAATGGAGCATTCAAGAAATAAAATTTATGATCAGCAGTGACATCTGTTTACCAGAGAAAACGATGGCTGAAAGCTATGATACGATACATACGTTTTCTATTCAAATATGAGAGAAAGAAAAAGAACTCAGAAAAGTTTACAGTTTCATTTATAAAGCGCATACATAAATACATCTACGATTATTTTTAAGGATAAAGGTGAAAATACGATGATGGTATCGTTCTCTGACGCAACCTCATTCCAGTTACACTGAAAATTACACATAATTTCCATGCTGTATTTAGTAAATCAAAAGTCCTGATTCAAATCTCCGTTGTTGTTGTTGTTGTAGAGCTTTGCACGATCAAAGTAGGAAAATCTGGACGATATTAGAATGGAAAATTCGCCTCTTACCACGCTGCCACCAGAATTGATTCATCATATATTTGACTACTGTGATATTCGAACGATTCTTTTGTCTGTTCGTGGTGTGTGCCAAACACTTTATGCCATGGTCAACACCTACGATCGACTCGCAATTACACTCAATTCTAAATCTGCTTGGACCATGAAATCTGTTTCCCGAATCGTTCGATCCGAACAAGTGATTTCACTTACTATTGCGGATTATGACAGTAAAAGTTTTTCTTGGTGTGATATTGGAACCAAATTATTCTTTTCGTTGTTCACCAGCGTAGAATTTACTCGTCTCCATTCGCTGACTCTCAGGCACATCAAAGATAACGATTTGAAACGTCTGCTACAAAGTGTGAGTGGTGTGTCGTTAGTCTCGCTCTCGATTCACTCAAACGAGAAAAAGTATGATCAAACATGGATCATTGTCTTAGAAGCGATCATGCGCGCGAACCTTCAAAAGTTATACATGTGTCATATTGACTACATGGAGGAACATATGCCATGGTCAGATCAATGCAGTCTAGAGCACTTGAGCATCGGGAATTGTGTCTACAGCAAATATCTTCTTATTCTGCGCCAGTTGCCAAAATTACGAACGCTCGTCATGCAGAACTGTATCATGAACGAAAAGAACAAAGCTGTAGTGTTGCCTACTCCCACAATCTATTGCTCGTTGGAATCTCTGACTATTGATTCGTATTTATGTACTCCAGAACAGTTGAAATTAATACTTTCGCCGATATCTTCGCTTTGTCGTTTGAGACTAGTTTCTATCTTCGATTTGTCTGAGCCTGTGTTCCATCGTTCCTATTGGGAACAGCTCGATTATGGCCAAATGTTGAAGATAGATCGATTCGAATTCTTCTTTTCATATAACAACAACCACATCAACAGAAAATTTATCGATTTCGACTTCCTTATCGACTCATTCCGTACACCATTCTGGCTCAACGAGAAACAATGGTTTGTATCTTGGGCCTACGTGCCAATCCTGAATGAAATCTGGCTTTACACAGTACCTAATCCCATTATTGATCAACGAAGTGCACTTAGATTTGAGATATCGTCGATGGGCAATACCTCGCGTCTAACTGAGCGACCTCTGAACAGAATGATTGATCACGCTTTAGATCAAGTAGGTGCCTAATCAAATATTTCAATTTGCAGAAAGTGAGAAACCAACTAGTTATTGATCTTGAAATCTTTGGCGTTTCGTCATCGCCCTTATCTACTTTCTTTATCATAGACATTGACCACACTGGTGCTTTTACAGAAAGATATCAGAGATGCTCACGTACAATATATTGCAATTGGTTTAAAGAATAACACGGTAGTTTTCGTTCTATCTGAAGATCTCTCACATCACCCTCGTTTTTCTACGTAGACATTGATCACAATGGACCTGTCACACAACGCAATTAGAGATGTCGGTGCGCAAGATCTTGCTAATGCCTTACGAAATAACACGGTGATCATCATTCTATTTTTCTCTGTTTCATCATCCTGATTTTTCAACATAGGCGTTGATCACATTGAATCTATCATACAACGCGATTGGAGATGTCGGGGCACAACATCTTTCCGATGCTCTAAGATACAACAAGGTTATTCTCATCAATCATTCATCTCAATTATATTCATCATTTACTTCAAACATAGACACTTGCCATACTAAGCCTAAATTGCAATCTAATCGGAGCCCTGGGGACACAACACTTCAGTGATGCCTTACGAACCAATAACGTGATGCTCGCTGTTTTTTTTCTCGGCTCTCTCTCTCTTATTCATCATTTTGTTTATACATAGTCACTCACCACATTGGACATCGGCAGTGATTGTTCAAAAAACGCAAATAATACAATTGGCAATGTTGGAGCACAACACCTTAGCGGTGCTTTACAGAATAATAAGGTGATTCTGTTCCTATCTTTTCTCATATGCACAGATTGTTCTCTATACATAGACACTTACTACACTGAATCTTAACTACAGTCGAATCGATTCCGTAGGAGCACAGCATCTTGCTGATGGTTTACGAAATAATGTGGTGATTTTTGTTCTATTTCCATATCGGACACTTCACTGTATTCTATGCATAGGCACTTACTACATTGCACTTCGATGGCAATTCTATCGAAGATCTTGGAGCACAATATTTTGCCGATGCCTTAAAAACTAACACAGTGATTTTCGTTCTATTTTTGTAACAGTCATATTAATATTCTTTCCTGTACGCAGACACTGGTCACATTGAATCTAGAATGGAATGGAATTGAAAATACTGGAGCGCAGCATCTCGCCAATGCCTTACAACATAACAAAGTGATGCCCTATCGTATTTTCATCTCTCAAGCATCCATCCAACTCTCTACTTATAGACACTTACCTCACTCAACCTTTATGGGAACAAGATCAGAAAAGCTGGAGCACAGCATCTTGCTGATGCTCTGAGAAATAACACAGTGAAATTATTTTATTGTCGGCTGTCTCTCACATTTATTCTTGACATATAGACGCTCACCACTTTAAACCTCGGTGGTAATCTCATTGGTGATTCTGGGGCACGGCACCTTGCTGATGCGCTAACTATTAACACGGTGATTTTCATTCCATTTTGAGCTTTTCTCGTTTGTATCCATTTCTATATGTAGACACTGACCTCATTGAACCTTAGCGCCAATAAAATCGAAACGGCTGGAACACAACATCTCGCCGATGCTCTAATCGAGAATACAGTAATTATTATTATTCTATTTTCATCTGTCTCTTAGATTCATCTTCTTATCTATGCAAAGACACTCACTACATTGTATCTTGAATGGAATGAATTTGGCAACGCTGGCGCAAAACGTCTTGGTGATGCTTTAGGGGCTAACAAAGTAATTTGTATTCTATTTTTCTCGCTCAAATATTCATCAGGTCTCTTCCACATAGGCACTTACCACACTGATCTTTCAAATGAATAAACTCGGGCATGTTGGATCAGAATATCTCGCTCATGGTTTAAGAAACAACATAGTTTGACTTGCGTTGCTTTCGTCTCTCTCGCATATTTGCCTTCTTCTCTACATCTAGACGCTTACTACAATGATCCTTTACTTTAATCGAATCGGAAACACTGGTGCAAAACATCTCGCTGATGCCTTACGGATTAACAAGGTAATTGTAATTCTGTTCTCATCTCCCATATGCCTGTCATATTGTGTACACACAGACACTCACTACATTGAACCTTAGAGCCAATGATATTGGAGAAACTGGAGCACAGTATCTCGCTGCTGCGCTGCGAGTCAACAAGGTGATTGTCGCCCTATTTTCTTATGAGAGAAGTGTATCTTACTCTCTACATATAGGCACTTACCACCTTGAATCTTGATACGAATGATATAGGAACTACTGGAGTTCAATATATCGCTGATGCACTGTGGGACAATAGGGTAGTTTTCATGCCTATTCTATCTCATTCGTATTTATCATTTCGTCCACAAATAGACGCTTACTTCATTGAATATGTCGAACAATTCGATCAAAGCTAATGGAGCGCAATATCTCGCTGATGCCTTAAGAAAGAACACAGTGATTTTTATACAAAAAACGTCTCTGTCATATTATAGTCACTTTCTATCCATGTAGACACTCACTACACTGGTTCTCGACTCAAATAAGATCGAAGATATCGGAGCGAAACACTTCGCTGATGCCTTAAGATATAACACGGTAGGTTTTATCCGATTTTTGTTGCTTTTGTATTGATATCCTTTTCTACATATAGACAGTCGAGGCTTTGAACATCTTTCTCTTAAATGGTATTTCTTCGGATGTTCAAAAAGAATTGAAAAGACAAGATAATAGAATCGAATAATTTGTTTATTTTGGCCAATATTTATGATTAAAGTAATTCCAAACTATTTTTGTATTTTATTTTTTTTGTTCTACATGTGCGAAGCAACTAGTCGTAAATGGCACTCTAGAATAATTTATACGATATTTATTGCAACGTTGCATTACAATTCGAACGAGGAAGAACACTTTCAGTGTAGAGAAGCAAGACTTCATATGATTACATCAAGCATAAAGTATATATGGGTGGTTGAAAAACTGTTCTGATATTTATTCTAGTGTGCAAACAGGTGTTTCTAACGACTTTTGATTGTTAAACTGAACGACTTGTGTAACGCTAGTTTTTTGCTTATTCTTCCAATGCACAATATGTTTCCATAAGAGTCGAAAGAGAAGTTCGCCCAACTCGATCATACTCAGAACACTCAAACCAATCCATCTAGATATTTTTCAAGAGAAAAAAGAGACTCGATGAAAAACATATCGATGAATCGACTTACAAGCCTGTCTGTCCACCAATGGAAGAAAAGACATCAGTAAATGACACCTTGGGTTCTTGTGTGTATTCCATAACATATTTACTCCCACAGGCAAGTTCTACTCTTAAATAATTCTGATTCATATAATAATCGTAACGTTGAGCAAAGTCTGGAGGTGCCAGAAAGGAGGTCGTATTGTTTGAGTTCAAAAGAGTCGTCGCCCAACTTGCCTTCACAGCATCGGACGGTGCGGCCTGTGCGCTGATGTCCATGGCGAAATGTGTATATTTACATTGAGAGGTACAATGAGCACACCACAGGGTTTGTAAGTCATCACTAGCTGCAAATTGCTTCTTAGCACCAAGTGCACATGCAAACTCGGATGCTATGGGACGGCACGTGCGCGCATATGCCAGACTTCCGTCGAGTTTGAAAACGTAACGCGCGAAGAATGGTATTGGTAGAATGCATGCGCACTGTGAAAAAATATAAGCTTGCCCGCACAGTTCGTTGCAGGCTGACTCTGAGTAGACAATTGTCTCTGATATGTTGGTGTCACCGTACGTAGTTTTGTACAGAGCACGCAAGTCGTCAGATACTGCTGATGTGCATGCACTATATGGATGTGGAAGATAGGTTTCTAAACTTTTACGGTAAGTGATCAAATGAGCGAAGCCAGGTGCAAGAGTAAGACCATTTTCGATGTTCAATGGAAATTCTTCGTTGTCATGTAACAGCAAATTGATACCGATGTTGAAATAGTCAGCGGGAAAACTGGATTCGCGTGGAACATAAAACGTTAGCTGAAGAGCTTCTTTCAACAGAAAACTATTGCCAAAATCAGCTAGTGTAAATAACGGTGATGATGTTTTCCAATTAAACGTAAAACAATTACCGAGACCTGATGTAAGCGAGCGTGTGAATGAATTCGAACAGTCAATACCGTTGAACTGACAGCCAAGTAGAATGTCGCTAAGTTGAAAACCAATGAGCGAGAGCTCTTCCGTTTTATTACTATTGAACAAATCAACGATGAGTGCTATTGCGAGCGTATCGAAAACGCTCAAATTAATCGATGAATTCGACGGAAATTGTTGATAGTAGTACTTGACAAGTGATTCATTCAGTTTATCTCGTCGATATGGATTCGTATTGCAAACAGTAACGGCTGGAAAAGGCATCTTACGATCGAGACGAATTAAAGTGCTTGTTTGTGTCGGATAGTTAAAATATTCGATAATGGATGACACAACAAAAACAAGCATGAGACCAAAAGCAGTCATAAATATCAGTATCCAGAAACAACGATTCCAAGCCGAATAGGCGCGACCCACACTTCGTAATCCATGTGTTGAGGTGGCAAGCAGATAATCAATGACAATTGACCGACGACGCTGCTGTACAAATGATTTTGGTTGTGTTTCACCGATGACGCTTTCCATGATTAATGAACACACCCGTAAATGGAAGGATCGAAACGGAAAGATCAATATAAACAGCGTTGTTATCTTAGCAAATTCAAACATGTTTTGTTTTGTTTTGTTCGAGCTGTTTACACAAACATTCGGGACTATGCGTCCTATTTGTAAGAGTTAATGAACAAATAATACGAAGCATTCCGGTTAAAAATGAATACGGAATCAAATTGAAAGATCGCCCTATCTCCATTTTTTCGTACTACTTTCTTCTTTGAATATAAGAAATTCTAGTATTGCACAATATTACTCATAACGGTCTGATACCACGTGTGTATGTAAAATTTGTTTTCTTCCTCTGTTGTTAAAAAGAGTCAAGAGAAGAAAAACAACTTTCTCTTTCTCATTAGTAACTTTATTCTTGCATCACGTTGCTCTTTTACTGATTATTTAAACCGTCGTATACATTATTTTTTCGCACAAATCCAATTATTCACACTAAAAAAAAATCGTGTCCATGATGAATATCAATCTTGTTGATCTACCAACTGAACTATTTCACAGTATTCTCGATCGACTCGATGCAATGACTATTATCTATGCCCTTCGTCCAGTATGTAAAAGAACATACAGTATGATAAAGTCTTATAATAGATTTCAACTGAATTTCTCGTCGTTTTCTTGGAGCGATCGGTTACTTATCGCTCGACAAATTCCATTTGAAAACGTTAGTTCGATCGTTGTCTCCGATAGTGATATATTTACAGATTTTGGAATCTATCCATTTTTCGAAAACTTCGACATACGACGATTTTCGCGTCTGAAGTCATTGAGTTTTACGTTCAGTGAAAGATCGAGTGAATTACGAAGCCAAGCTTTTCAATCCAATACTCTGATCAACAAAATAATACAACCACCCATGTAACTCTGAAACGCAAAAAAAACGCGTTTGGACGCGTTTGGTGTTTCACATAGTGTAGTGCCGCGTCTAGACGCATCCTATGAACGCGTCCGAACGCGATAGAATTATCAAACGTGGTCAGACGCATCCTATGCACGCATCTGAACGCGGTAGAACCTAAGAACCGCGGCCAGANGGCTTCGTAATAACTGTGAAAACCAGGGCAGTAGTGAAAAAAAAATTGCCTATGTGCGTTCTAGAATCTAGATCACTGTATACTTTCTAACAATGAGTCTTTTTACCGTATGTGTATGCTTGTCCGAATGAATTGATGCACTCTTTCTGACAATATTGAACATCTTTTTCAGTTGTTAAGTTCTTGACTGGATTATTAACATGATAGGCGTGTAGTACAGCAAGATTTTTATAGGCCGACGCATATTCGTCATTGGTAGTACTTGTAGCTAATGCTTGATTATAGGATTTTAAAGCATCATCGAGACGACCACGACGAAGTACCGGTGCAGCATTTTCTTCTTGTTTTACTTTAGCGAAAAATTGATTTCCTCTCTTTCGGTGTAGTTCTGACACGGTAGAAGACATGTATGCCTTTGTTTTCGATGAAAAAGAATATAATGAAAAGAATAGTTCTCTCCAACACTCGTATTCGTCGTTGAAAAAATTTTCTTCTGTTCTTATCGTATTCCGCAATTGACGATGATGCAACGCAATTCAGATTGAGAAAAAATATGTTGGAAAAAACCCGATGTAATACATCGAATTTTCCATCTCTATCGCGTTTAAGCTATTATGTTGAAACGCAAATAGATAAGTAGGGCAGATCTTGAAAGTATTACAAAGCCGCGGCATGATACAATATGCGGCTTTGGACAATCACACGGCATTTCCGCGTTTCCATGGAAAAAGTGTTTTAATAATGCATGTGAAAGACATAAGACAGTTACACAATTCTTCATCTACGTAAAATATCAAGAACAATGTTCAGCAAAACTAACTATTTCTCAATCTTTCATCCACATATTTTGAATATTTAATTATTTTATCGAAAACGAAGAACATCGATTTTTCTCGTCCATTTATACTAGGTTGACATGTACGAGAAGGCAAAGAAACAGAAAAAGGGATGATGATGGTACATCTACATTCGCAACATTACACATCAATGATAGGAGACGTCTTGAGAGAAGAGAATAATGCAGCATTCGAGAAATAAAATTTATGATCGGTAGTGACATCTGTTTATTAGAGAAAACGATGACTGAAAGCTACGATACGATACATACGTTTCTATTCAAATATGAGAGAAAGAAAGAGAACTCGCAAAAGTTTTCAGTTTCATTTATCAAACGCACACACAAATACATCTACGATTATTCTTAAGGATAAGGGTGAAAATACAATGATGGTATCGTTCTCTGACGCAACCTCATTCCAGTTACACTGAAAATTACACATAATTTCCATGCTGTATTTAGTAAATCAAAAGTCGTGATTCAAATCTCTGTTGTTGTTGTTGTAGAGCATTGCACGATCAAAGTAGGAAAATCTGAACGATATTAGAATGGAAAATTCGCCTCTTACCACGCTGCCACCAGAACTGATTTATCATATATTTGACTACTGTGATATTCGAACGATTCTTTTGTCTGTTCGTGGTGTGTGCCAAATACTTTATGCCATGGTCAACAGCTACGATCGACTCGCAATTACACTCAATTCCAAATCTGCCTGGACCATGAAATCTGTTTCCCGAATCGTTCGATCTGAACAAGTGATTTCACTTACTATTGCGGATTATGATAGTAAACGTTTTTCTTGGTGTGATATTGGAACCAAATTATTCTTTTCATTGTTCACCAACGTAGAATTTACTCGTCTCCATTCGCTGACTCTCAAGCACATCAAAGATAACGATTTGAAACGTCTGCTACAAAGTATGAGTGGTGTGCCGTTAGTCTCGCTCTCGATTCACTCAGACGAGAAAAAGTATGATCAAACATGGATCATTGTCTTAGAAGCGATCATACGTGCGAACCTTCAAAAGTTATACATGCGTTATATTGACTACATGGAGGAACATATGCCATGGCCAGATCAATGCAGTTTAGAGCACTTGAGCATCGGGAATTGTGCCTATAGCAAATATCTTCTTATTCTGCACCAGTTGCCAAAATTACGAACGCTCGTCATGCAGAACTGTATTATGAATGAAAAGAACAAAGCTGTAGTGTTGCCTACTCCCACAATCTATTGCTCGTTGGAATCTCTGACTATTGATTCGTATTTACGTACTCCAGAACAATTGGAATTAATACTTTCGCCGATATCCTCGCTTAGTCGTCTGAGACTAATTTCTATCTTCGATCTATCTGAGCCTGTGTTCCATCGTTCCTATTGGGAACAGCTCAATTATGGCCAAATGTTGAAGATAGATCGATTCGAATTCTTCTTTTCATATAACAACAACCACATCAACAGAAAATTTATCGATTTCGACTCCCTTATCGACCCGTTTCGTACACCGTTCTGGCTCAACGAGAAACAATGGTTTGTATCTTGGGGCTACGTGCCAATCCTGAATGAAGTCTGGCTTTACACAGTACCTAGTCCCATTATTGACCGACAAAGTGTACTCAGATTTGAGATATCGTCGATGGACAACACATCGCGTCTAACTGAACGACCTCTGAACAGAATGATTGATCACGCTTTAGATCAAGTAGGTACTAAATCAAAGACGTCAATTTGTAGAAATTCAGAAACCAACTAGTTTACTGATCTTGAAAACTTTGGCGTTTCGTCATAGACATTGACCACACTGGTGCTTTTCCAGAAAGATATCAGAGATGCTCACGTACAATATATTGCAATTGGTGTAAAGAATAACACGGTAATTTTCCCTCTATCTGACGATTTCTCATATCATCCTCGTTTTTCTACGTAGACATTGATCACAATGGATCTGTCACACAACGCAATTAGAGATATCGGGGCGCAACATCTTGCTGATGCCTTACGAAATAACACGGTGATCGTCATCCTATTTTTCTCTGTCTCCTCATCCTGGTCTTTCAACATAGGCGTTGATCACACTGAACCTATCACACAACGCAATTGGAAATGTCGGAGCACAACATCTTTCCGAAGCTCTAAGATACAACAAGGTTATTCTCAGCCATCATTCATTTCAATTATATTCATCATCTACTTCAAACATAGACACTTGCCATACTAAACCTAAATTGCAATCTAATTGGAGCCCTGGGGACACAACACTTCAGTGATGCCTTACGAATCAATAACGTGATGCTCGCTCTGTTTTTTTCGTCTCTCTCTCTCTTATTCATCATTTTGTTTATACATAGTCACTCACCACATTGGACATCGGCAGTAATAATTCAAACAACGAAAATAATACAATTGGCAATGTCGGAGCACAACATCTTAGTGGTGCCTTACAGAATAATAAGGTGATTCTGTTCCTATCTTTTCTCATATACACAGATTGTTCTCTATACATAGACACTTACTACATTGAATCTTAATTACTGTCGAATCGATTCCGTAGGAGCACAGCATCTTGCTGATGGTTTACGAAATAATATGGTGATTTTCATTCTATTTTCATCTCGGGCACTTCACTGTATTCTATGCATAGGCACTTACTACATTGCACTTCGATGGCAATTCTATCGAAGATCTTGGAGCACAATATTTTGCTGACGCCTTAAAAACTAACACGGTGATTTTCGTTCTATTTTTGTAACAGTCATATTAATATTCTTTCCTATACACAGACACTGATCACATTGAATCTACAATGGAATGGAATTGAAAATACTGGAGCGCAGCATCTCGCTGATGCCTTACAACATAACAAAGTGATGTCCTATCGTATTTTCCTCTCTAAAGCATCCATCTAGCTCTCTACTTATAGACACTTACCTCACTCAACCTTCATCGGAACAAGATCAGAAAAGCTGGAGCACAGCATCTTGCTGATGCTCTGAGAAATAACACAGTGAAATTATTTTATTGGCGGCTGTCTCTGACACTTGTTTTCTTTGTTCTTGACATATAGACGCTCACCACTCTAAACCTCGATGGTAATTTCATTGGTGATTCTGGAGCACAGCACCTTGCTGATGCGCTAACTATTAACACGGTGATCTTCATTCGGTTTTGATATTTTTCTCGTTTGTATCCATTTCTATATGTAGACACTGACCACATTGAACCTTAGCGCCAATAAAATCGAAACGGCTGGAACACAACATCTCGCCGATGCCCTAATCGAGAATACAGTAATTATTATTCTATTTTCATCTGTCTCTTACATGTATCTTCTTATTTATGCAAAGACACTCACTACGTTGTATCTTGAATGGAACGAATTTGGCAACGCTGGCGCAAAACGTCTGGGTGATGCTTTAGGGGCTAACAAGGTAATTTGTATTCTATTTTTCTCGCTCAAATATTGATCAGGTCTCTTGCACATAGGCACTTACCACACTGGTCTTTCACATGAATAAACTTGGGCATGTTGGATCAGCATATCTCGCTCATGGTTTAAGAAACAACATAGTTGGACTCGTGTTGCTTTCGTCTCTCTCTCATACTTGTCTTCTTCTCTACATATAGACCCTTACCACAATGATCCTTTACTTTAATCGAATCGGAAGCACTGGTGCAAAACATCTCGCTGATGCCTTACGGATTAACAAGGTAATTGTAATCCTGTTCTCACCTCTCATATACCTATCATATTGTGTACATTCAGACACTCACTACATTGAACCTTAGAGCCAATGATATTGGAGCAACTGGAGCACAGTATCTCGCTACTGCGCTGCTAGTCAACAAGGTGATTGTCGTCATATTTTCTTACGTGAGAAATATATCTTACTCTCTACATATAGGCACTTACCACCTTGAATCTTGATACGAATGATATGGGAACTGCTGGAGTTCGATATATCGCTGATGCACTGTGGGACAATCGGGTAGTTTTTATGCCTATTCTATCTCACTCGTATTTATCATTTCGTCTACAAATAGACGCTTACTTCATTGAATATGTCGAACAATTCGATCAAAGCTAATGGAGCGCAATATCTTGCTGATGCCTTAAGAAAGAACACAGTGATTTTTATACGAAAAACGTCTTTGCCGTATTAGTCACTTTCTATGCATGTAGACACTCACTACACTCGTTCTCGACTCAAATAAAATCGAAGATATCGGAGCGAAACACTTCGCTGATGCCTTAAGATATAACACGGTAGGTTTTATCCGATTTTTGTTGCCGTTGCATTGATATCCTTTTCTACATATAGACAGTCGAGACTTTGAACATCTTTCTCTTAAATGGTATTTCTTCAGACGTCCAAAAAGAATTGAAAAGACAAGATAATTGAATCGAATAATTTGTTTATTTTGGCCAATATTTACGATAACTAATGAAATAATTCCAAGCTAGTTTTGTATTTTACTTATTTTGCTCTACATATGTGAAGCAACTAGTCACGAATGGCACTCTAGAATAATTTATACGATATTTATTGCAACGTTGCATTACAATTCGAACGAAAAGAACAATTTCAGTGTAGAAAAGCAACACTTCATATGATTACATCAAGCATAAAATATAAATGAGTGGTTGAAAAACTATTTTGATATTCATTCTAGTGTGCAAACAGGTGTTTCTGACGACTTCTGATTGTTAAACTGAACGACTTGTGTAACGCTAGTTTTTTGCTTATTCTTCCAATGTACAATATGTTTCCATAAGAGTCGAAAGAGAAGTTCGCCCAACTCGATCATACTCAGAACACTCAAACCAATCCATCTAGATATTTTTCAAGAGAAAAAAGAGATTCAATGAAAAAACATATCGATGAATCGACTTACAAGCCTGTCTGTCCACCAATGGAAGAAAAGACATCAGTAAATGACACCGTGGGTTCTTGTGTGTATTCCATAACATATTTACTTCCACAGGCAATTTCTATTCTTAAATAATTCTGATTCATATAATAATCGTAACGTTGAGCAAAGTCTGGAGGTGCCAGAAAGGAGGTCGTATTGTTTGAGTTCAAAAGAGTTGTCGCCCAACTTGCTTTCACAGCATCGGACGGTGCGGCCTGTGCGCTGATGTCCATGGTGAAATGTGTATATTTACATTGAGAGGTACAATGAGCACACCACAGGGTTTGTAAGTCATCACTAGCTGCAAATTGCTTTTTAGCACCAAGTGCACATGCAAACTCGGTTGCAATGGGACGGCACGTACGCGCATATGCCAGACTTCCGTCGAGTTTGAAAACGTAACGCGCGAAGAATGGTATTGGTAGAATGCATGCGCACTGTGAAAAAATATAAGCTTGCCCGCACAGTTCGTTGCACGCTGACTCGGAGTAAACAATCGTCTCTGATATGTTGGTGTCACCGTACGTAGTTTTGTAGAGAGCACGCAAGTCGTCAGGTACTGCTGATGTGCATGCACTATATGGATGTGGAAGAAAGGTTTCTGAACTTTGACGGTAAGTGATCAAGTGAGCGAANGCTCAAGTGCGCGAAGCCAGGGGCAAGAGTAAGACCATTTTCGATGTTCAATGGAAATTCTTCGTTGTCATGTAGCAGCAAATTGATACCGATGTTGAAATAATCAGCGGGAAAACTGGATTCGCGCGGAACATAAAATGTTAGTTGAAGAGCTTCTTTCAAGAGAAAACTATTGCCAAAATCAGCTAGTGTAAACAAGGGTGATGATGTTTTCCAAGTAAACGTAAAACAATTACCGAGACCCGATGTAAGCGAACGTGTGAATGAATTCGAACAGTCAATACCGTTGAATTGACAGCCAAGTAAAATGTCGCTAAGTTGAAAACCAATGGACGAGAGTTCTTCCATTTTATTACTATTGAACAAATCAACGATGAGTGCTATTGCGAGCGTATCGAAAACACTCAAATTAATCGATGAATTTGACGGAAATTGTTGATAATAGTACTTGACAAGTGATTCATTCAGTTTATCTCGTCGATATGGATTCGTATTGCAAACAGTAACGGCTGGAAAGGGCATCTTACGATCGAGACGAATTAGAGTGCTTGTTTGTGTCGGATAGTGAAAATATTCGATAATGGATGACACGACAAAAACAAGCATGAGACCAAAAGCAGTCATAAATATCAGTATCCAGAAGCAACGATTCCAAGCAGAATAGGCGCGACCCACACTTCGTAATCCATGTGTTGAGGTGGCAAGCAGATAATCAACGACAATTGACCGACGACGCTGCTGTACAAATGACTTTGGTTGTGTTTCACCGATGACGCTTTCCATGACTATAGTGAACACACCTGTAAATGGAAGGATCGAAGCGGAATGATCAATATAAACAGCGTTGTTTTCTGAACAAATTCAATCATGTTTTGTCTTGTTCGAGCTATTTACACAAACATTCGGAACTATGCATCCTATTTGTAAGAGTTAATGAATAAATAATACGAAGCATCCCGGAAAAAAATATATCGAACTTAGGTTAAAAATGAATACGGAATCAAATCGAAAGATCGCCCTATCTCCATTTTTTCGTACTACTTTCTTCTTTGAATATAGGAAATTCTAGTATTGCACAATATTACTCATAACGGTCTGATACCACGTGCGTATGTAATTTTTTTTCTTCCTCTGTTATTAAAAAGAGTCGGGAGAAGAAAAACAACTTTCTCTTTCTCAATAGTAACTTTATTCTTGCATCACGTTGGTCTTTTACTGATTATTTAAACCGTCGTATACGTTATTTTTTCGCACAAATCCAATTATTCACATTAAAAAAATCATGTCCACGATGAATATCAATCTTGTTGATCTACCAACTGAACTATTTCACAGTATTCTCGATCGACTCGATGCAATGACTATTATTTATACCCTTCGTCCAGTATGTAAAAGAACATACAGTATGATAAAGTCTTATAATAGATTTCAACTGATTTTCTCGTCGTTTTATTGGAGCGATCAGTTACTTATCACCCAAAAAATTCCATTTGAAAACGTTAGTTCGATCGTTTTCTCGGATAGTGATATATTTACAGATTTTGGAATCTATCCATTTTTCGAAAACTTCGACATACGACGATTTTCGCGTCTGAAGTCATTGAGTTTTAAGGTCAGTGAGAGATCGAGTGAATTACGAAGCCAAGCTTTTCAATCCAATATTCTGATCAACAAAATAATACAACCAGTTCATTCTACACTTCAGTATTTAAAACTTCCGAAATGCAATTATTTTCAATATCATCTTATTCTTCGTACCTTACCAAATTTAAAGACATTTATCATCGATTCTTTTCAACTGGAAAACGCTAATGAAACTATTAATTCAGTTCAAAAATATGAACAATTAACGTCGTTAACTATCTCTAAATGCAATCTGTTAATGGAACATTTTCGCCTTGTACTTATCACAGTGCCATCATTAACCTATCTGAAATTGATGTCTACCAGATTAATGTATGGTCCTGTGTTTGATGGTTCATTCTGGGGAGAATTTATTCAAATTCGTTTTCTGCATCTGAAAACTTTTGAATTTCATTTTACTTATCCTATTCAAGATAATGCCATTGTGCACAGTGTTAATTCAATTATTGCCTCATTTCGAACATCATTTTGGTTACAGGACAAACGATGGTTTACTATTTGCGATCATTTTATCAAATCAAAGCAGATCGCGGTTTATACTAAATCAATCTGCGTGAATCAGGATGGACCATTGATTAGATGTGAAGCTGTGCCCGTAAGCAGTGTCTGTCGTTTAATTGAAAATCCGAACGATATTGAACATAAGGTATGAAATCGTTCTGGGTTACACGTTTGTGATCTTTGTGGGTTTTTTTCACGTAGACTCCGATGACGCTGAACTTTAGCAAATGTCACATTGATGAACAAGTAATCCAAGATTTAGCGGATGCATTATCCGATGATATCGTAAATTGGAGTTTTCCACATTTTCTGAACGTAAATTGATGATTTTCGTCTGTAGACTATCAAAACACTCGATCTTCAAGACTCACGTTTTAAAACCGATATGCTGCAAAAGTTCACTGATCTCTTGTCAAAGTGCACAGTAAAGATCATTTTCTCATGTGCCCTTTTTTTTTCGTTTACCAGTCATTGACTATTCTAGCAACTTACTACGCTTCACCTTGGAAATAATCAGCTTGGACCACTAGGCGTACAACATTTTGCCACACTATTACAATCCAATTTAGTGAATATGATTGAATTTACTCTCAAAATTTCATATCTTCGCTTCTTCTTATTTAGACAATCGAGACAATTCATGTTCCATTCAACAGCATCAGAAATGACGGAATACGATACATAATTGAAGCATTAGAAGACAATAAAGTACATCTAGAAAGATTTCTATTGGCACTTCTTTGTTCTGCCCATAGACACTCACTACATTGAACCTTCAATTTACTGAGATTGAAGATAGCGGAGTGGAATACATTGCGTCAATGTTGATGTGTAGTACGGTAGTATTCATCGTGTAGTATTTTTTCCTAAATATCATTCCATATTTCTTTCAATTAGACACTTCAGTCGTTAAATCTGAGTAATAATTATTTTGGAGTAACTGCAACGCAATACCTTTCTGATGCATTAAAGCAAAATAACGTTCGTACCATCGGTTTTTTCGAACATCTTGTTCTGCAGTTTGATTTCTTTTGATAGACACTAATCACATTGGATCTAAGTGGAAATAATCTCGGTATTAAAGGAGCAGAATTCTTAGCTGATGCGTTACCGTACACAACAGTATATATATACTTTACATTTGAGTTCTTTCACTCTTCATTCCATTTTCAATCGATATAGACACTTATCACATTAAATATATCGAAAACTCAAGTATTAGACCAAGGAAGTCAAACCATAGCAATTGCATTATTATCTAATACAGTAATACTATGTTTCATTTCTTTCAGTCTGTGTATCTTTTGGTCTTTTCACTGACATAGTCACTGAAATCACTTGATCTACGTGGAAATTCTATTGAGGAATCTGGGGCACAAAAATTTATTAGTCTATTACGACAAAATAGGGTATAGCGTATTATCTTTGTTAATTATAATGAATCTATTGCTATTTTTCATCTAGCGACTTATTTCGTTGAATCTTCATGAGAACAGAATCGATCCAATTACTGTACAAACGATCGATACATTGCTTCTTTATAACACTGAAATGATGCACTCAGAGTAACTGTATGAATTTCGTTTATCAACTACATATAATCGAGATATAAACATTTCTTTTACACTTTTTATGTGACATTTTGAAAATTCAAATTGATGGAGAAAAGATAAACAACAAAGATAAAGAATAGAAAGTGAGAAAAGTCGTATGACTGCCAGATCTGAATTCCTATAAAGTAATAAAGATGATCTTTCAATGTTTATTTGCGTGATTAATCTACAATGTTTGTTTCTTTAACATCGATGACACAAAAGTATAGATATAAGAAAAACATATTTATCGAAGAATCTGCACATCACTGGGAATATTTCTTGCAGATCTCCTCGAGATTGTTCATGAGTCGTTCATCGTCTTCGACACTCGATTTTGTCCATGCTAATGGTAAATGTTTCGAAACAACAGTTCGATCTTGAAAGAATTCACCATTGGCAAACCGATTCGCAATATCTTTCAAGCAACAAAGCCATACGAGTGTATCCGCCCCTTGTTCGGGTGTGCGAAGTCGACTTTGCATCTTCGAGTAAAAAGATGGCATTGCTGTACGCACAGCTGGTGTATCTACCCAACCTGAAACAAAGAAAATAATTCCGTCAAATCTGTTATATTGTTAACAATATAATACCGGGATGCCAACTAGCAAAGAAGATCGATGGATATCGTTGTGCAAATCGTTCCATCATCACCACTTGTTGTCGCTTATTCTGTGCATAGACGAGATCNGTTGGGAATAAATCGAAATTGTATAAGATCTGTAAAGACTTACACATGCTTCTGAATGACAAAGACATCAACGATGGTATATCAATAATCGTCATTTTTCTCAAAAAACACCTGCATTTTCTTCATATAGAAACAATGGTCATCACGACAGATGGAAGAACTTTTGATTCGGAATGGGATGATAAAGCAGTGGATTTCTGGGAACGATCGATTGATGATGTCGATGAGAAGTTTGAGGGTCGAAAAGTGAAACATCCGGTATCTTTTGCGGATTTCGTTCCACAACAATTCCGACAGCGATTATTGTCATCCTCACTGTTTCCTCGGGATCTCATTGAACCAATTATTCACTGTTTTATCAATTCAGAGATGATCGATAGTGCTTGTTCCCTGTCGAATTTGAATCTACTCGGTAAATTTCATCCTGAAATATACATGCGATTGTTATCGTTTCAATAGAATACAACGGATATGGAGATCCACCGGGTGAATATGAAAACGAATTGAAAAATGGTGGTTATCGACCGTTTATAAACTATCTCAGGTCGTTTATACCTGATGAGAAACAAATTCGTTTGAATTGCGAAGTTCAACGTGTGAAATACATGGAAAGAGAAAGGAAATTACTCGTTGAGATGGTTGATCTTCGAACTGAAGAGAAGAAATTTATGTTGTGTGATCAAATCATTTGGACAACTTCATTAGGATTTTTGAAAGAAAATTTTCAAAGAATCTTTGCAAGTGAACGGTTACTTATTGAACAAAAACAAAATGCAATTGATCAAATCGGTTTTGGAATCTTAAACAAAGTTCAACATGAAGATCCGTGCTTTTCTCGATAAAAATTTTCTTTTTCAGGTAATTATCATTTACAAAGAGAAATTTTGGCCAAATAATATCAACTATATGAAACTATTACATACTCAACCGTATCGACTCGACGATTTATCTCCTCAATTACGAGCAGAACTTCATTCTCAACAAGTTGGTCAACATCTCATTGAAGAAATTGCCAATTCACTTTACTTTTATGGAGGTTTATCATCAACACATATTCCAATCTTAATTTGTTGGTTCGCCGATTCCTTAGCAATCAAAATTGAGAACCTAAACGAGCAAACTCTCGGGCAAATTTGTCATGNTCTCTAATTATCTAACCTTAAAGCTTCTTGGCCAATACTTGGAATGAGTTTTTCACGTACTAATGAGTCGATAATCGCTTTGATAATTGCAAGGAGATATTTGCTAACATTTTCAACTAACTTTATTACTTGTGCACTAATCCACCGGTCCGTTTTACACCAATAAGCAAGGCATTCACAATTCCTTAAGAATAAGTTGTATCCATGAGCTTCTTCTGCAGTCCATGGCTTTGTCAGATTATCGGGCTCTATGAAACCATCACCATATTTGATTTGTTCGAGAACGAGGTGAGCATTGTCAACAACAATTTCCGGAGCGAGACATTGTGATTCATAAGCGGTACCAGCTCTTTTAAATCGAGCATATCGAGAACCATAAACAACACGTTTCAAGGTGCAACCTTTTTGAAATCGTTTTAAACTAACAACTTGAATACGAGCACGATTTGGTTTACAACTACCATCATATGTGCTGAATTCCAGAACTTGTGACTCATCAGGATCGTTTCTGTCGACAAATATTACAATGCCGTGATGTTGATGAAAAATAGAAGACCAAATGTATACATGATCACCCAACCATATATCTTTTGATACTATTGTATGAAATACCGGCATTTGTGTTTTGTAAGTATTGTTTAAAGTGAGAGTTGTGCGTGTTCTAAACGGGGAAAAATGCTCACGATTCTTTTTGTTTCGCCGTCGATGTTATAGAAACAATCGCATGGCGCTTGGTATTTTCCAACATAAGGCAATTACGATTGAACTTCGATGAACTGAGCATATTATGAATAAATTTAGTACATAGTCGGATACCTTTATTCAGTAAAATACTTTTCGTTTCGTTTATTTATGCTTTTGTCAATCGCTCGTTGTTAACTTTCTTCCTCGTGCAGTTCTATGACCTTACTGAAAGTGAACTTTATTAAGAGAACAAGAAAAGAGTGAGAAAAAAAAGACTGTGCACGATGACAGTGCAAATCGTTTGAGCTTTTTTTTTATGGCAGACCGATAATTTCCAATAGACTCGATTGTTTCACATCGCAGGAATTTACTTACGATTGTCTAAGAGATGAGTTTCAATTTGTGTTGGTGCTGCAGACCAATTTAGTGAAGGAGAAAATTGGATTCAAAGAGATTTCTGTGCATTTTTACATTCTTGAACATACTTTTCGTCATAGTCGTTGATCAACAATTATGTGATCGGTATTCGCATAGGAAACAATAGATTGAAAATTACATAGAGAATCTATTGTCTACAGAACACGTTGAATTACCCCATGATGAAAATGACTTTCTCGATGTTCACATCTATTTTCGTGATAAATGGAAGGCTTATTCAACAGCTAAGCATTTTCAGGAAATCAAACCGCGATAAAAGTCACGAGAATTGCTCGTCTGAACGAAAGAGATTATTGGTTCTACCAATACTTCACGAATATCTTTTCTCCGAAATCAATCCAGATCTCTACGTATGAAACATCGCATTTTACCAAAAATATGTCCACTGTTTAGTAAATCAGTATACAATTCAAACTGAATGGGCGCTGAAAGTCATGTACTCAAGAATGAGGATTATTGAGAACTATTGTTGTGATTAGAGGAAGAGAATTCTACCTTACACAAGTATGATTAATTTTGAAACCATTNACGCGGTTGAACGCATCTGAAAGACGCGTCTGGATGTGTTTGATTAACGCATCTAGATGCATGAAATGTTTCATTTCCATCGCGTTTGGTGCGTTTGTGCCTTGCGTTTGAAACGCATCCCAAACGCGTTTTAAACGCGTTTACACTCAAAAAAATTTCACATGGGCAGTTCATTCTACACTTCAATATTTACAACTTTCGAATTGCAATTATTTTCAATATCATCTTATTCTTCGTACCTTACCAAATTTAAAGACATTTGTCATCGATTGTTTTCAACTGGAAAACGCTAATGAAACTATTAATTCAGTTCAAAAATATGAACGATTAACGTCGTTAACTATTTCTAAATGCAATCTGTTAATGGAACATTTTCGCTTAGTACTTACCACAGTGCCATCATTAACCTATCTGAAATTGATGTCTACGAGATCAGTGTATGGTCCTGTGTTTAATGGTTCATTTTGGGAAGAATTTATTCAAATTGGTTTTCCGCAACTGAAAACTTTTGAATTTCGTTTTACTTATCCTATTCGAGATAATGGCATTGTGCACAGTGTTAATTCAATTATTGCCTCATTTCGAACATCATTTTGGTTACAGGACAAACGATGGTTTACTATTTGCGATCATTTTATAAAATCAAAGCAGATCGCGGTTTATACTAAATCAATCTGTGTGAATCAGGATGGACCATTGATTAGATGTGAAGCTGTGCCAGTAAGCAGTGTCTGTCGTTTAATTGAAAATTCGAACGATATTGAAACTACGGTATGAAATCATTCTTGCTTATGCGTTTGTGATCTTTGTGAACTTTTTTTCACATAGACTCTGATGACGCTGAATTTTAGCGAATGTCACATTGATAAACAAGTAATCCAAGATTTAGCGGATGCATTATCTGATGATATCGTAAATTGGAGTTTTCCACATTTTCTGAACGTAAATTGATGACTTTTGTCTGTAGACCATCAAAACACTCGATCTTCACGACTCACGCCTTAAAAACGATATGCTGCAAAATTTGATTGATCTCTTGTCAAAATGCACAGTAAAGATCATTTTCTCATGTGCCCTTTTTTTTTCGTTTACCAGTGATTGTCTATTCTAGCAACTTACTACGCTTCACCTTGGAAATAATCAGCTTGGACCACTGGGCGTACAACATTTAGCCACACTATTACAATCCAATTTAGTGAAAATGATTGAATTTACTCTCAAAATTCGATAGTTTCACTTCTCCTTATTTAGACAATCGAGACACTTCATGTTCCATTCAACAGCATCAGAAATGACGGAATACGATACATAATCGAAACATTAGAAGACAATAAAGTACATCTAGAAAGATTTCTATTGACACTCCTTTGTTCTGCCCATAGACACTCACTACATTGAATCTTCAATTTACTGAGATTGAAGATAGCGGAATGCAATACATTGCGTCAATGTTTATGTGTAGTACGGTAGTATTCATCGTGTAGTATTTTTTCCTAAATATCATTCCATATTTCTTTCAATTAGACACTTCAGTCGTTAAATCTGAGTAATAATTATTTTGGAGTAACTGCAACGCAATACCTTTCTGATGCATTAAAGCAAAATAACGTTCGTATCATCGGTGTTTTCGAACATCTTGTTATGCAATTTGATTTCTTTTGATAGACACTAATCACATTGGATCTAAGTGGAAATAACCTTGGTATTAAAGGAGCAGAGTTCTTAGCTGATGCGTTACCTTACACAACAGTATAGATATACTTTACATTTGAGTTCTTTCACTCTTCATTTCGTTTTCAATCGATATAGACACTTATCACATTAAATATATCGAAAACTCAAGTATTAGACCAAGGAAGTCAAGCCATAGCAATTGCATTATTATCTAATACAGTAATACTATGTTTCATTTCTTTTAGTCTGTGTATCTTTTGGTCTTTTCGCTGACTTAGTCACTGAAATCACTTGATCTACGTGGAAATTCTATTGAGGAACCTGGGGCACAAAAATTTATCAGTCTATTACGACAAAATAGGGTATAGCGTATTATCTTTGTTAATTAATTATAATGAATCTATTGCTATTTTTCATCTAGCGACTTCTTTCGTTAAATCTTCGCGAGAACAGAATCGATACATTGCTTCTCTATAACACTGAAATGATGCACTCAGAGTAACTGTATGAATTTCGTTTATCAACTACATATACTCGAGATATAAACATTTCTTTTGCACTTTTCATGTGACATTTTGAAAATTCAGATTGACGGAGAAAAGTCGTATGGCTGCCAGGTCTGAATTCCTATACACATATGATCCAAATTGAATTAAAGTAATAAAGATGATCTTTCAATGTTTATTTGCGCGATTAATCTATGTTCGACACAAAGGTATAGATATAAGAAAAACATATTTATCGAAGAATCTGCACATCACTGGGAATATTTCTTGCAGATTTCCTCGAGATTGTTCATGAGTCGCTCATCGTCTTCGACACTCGATTTTGTCCATGCTAATGGTAAATGTTTCGAAACAACAGTTCGATCTTGAAAGAATTCACCATTGGCAAATCGATTCGCAATATCTTTCAAGCAACAAAGCCATACGAGTGTATCCGCCCCTTGTTCGGGTGTGCGAAGTCGATTTTGCATCTTCGAGTAAAAAGATGGCATTGATGTACGCACAGCTGGTGTATCTACCCAACCTGAAACAAAGAAAATAATTCCGTCAAGTCTGTTATATTGTTAACAATATAATACCGGGATGCCAACTAGCAAAGAAGATCGATGGATATCGTTGTGCAAATCGTTCCATCATCACCACTTGTTGTCGCTTATTCTGTGCATAGACGAGATCACCGTTGAACGAACTCATTTTCGTTGAATTCAAGTCATCAGGATCCAGTCGACACATAAACATGCCTAATTCGAAACGAAGAAGCCTCTCGAATTTCAAAAGAATGTTTTCCACTTACCTCCTGAACTTGTTGTGAACACGCGAGCAGGTTGATTGTTCATAAGGATTGGTATGAAATTGCTTGTTAAAATGTACGTTCCCAGTGTATTCGTCGCGAAGTTCACTTCATATTCATTGTCAACCAATTGTCGCTCATTGGCCATGCATCCAGCATTGTTGCATAGAATCTTTAAAGAAAATCAGCTAAATTCTTTTTGAGTCATTCAGAAAATATCTTACGTTGAGCGGTTTTTTCGATTGAACAAAGTTTCTCGCAAATTTCAAAACTTCTTTCGGTTGCGACAAATCGCAAATATGTAAATCAACATTACGATTGTTCGACTTTTGTATAATTTCCTCTTGAGCCTCTTTTCCTCGTGTCTCATCCCGACAAACCATATAAACATGAGCTTGTCGTTTAGCGCATTCCAGTGCAGTTATTTTGCCAATGCCCTATAATCAAGCATGTAACTATTCGAACATTTCTTCTCAAAAAGAAAACATACCGAATTCGCTCCAGTAATCATTACATGTGTCCCAGTTAAATCGACCTCGGTATCGGCCTGATTGAACCGTTTAGCAGCCGATTCAAAACCAGACCGAGTATACTCCGAAAGACCTTTAGCTCCAAAAACAGCAGTGCGATAAAACGACATGATGAAAATCACACTAATGTACCGCACGGCACATATTTATATCACGTAACGCTGTTTTTCCCTCGTTATGTAACAGCAAGAGAACGCAAAAGGTTTGATGACGTTCTTTCGTTTTGTAGAAGAGAGAAAAAAGAATAACAAACTCGAACGCACGTGGCAGTGATGAAAAGAAAAGAAAAGATCACACTGTATTACATAAGAAGTATCTTTCAGTAAAAGTTTAATATTGAATACATGAAATTGATTTTGTAAATGTTCATCTACTGTTGAGACCTTAATGGTAATGAAATACTTCGATTGGTTACCTTCCTGTCAAATCATGTTTAGACGGAGGAAAGAATGAAATGAGTATGATTGATACAAGTGTAAAATATTTTTGTTAAACTATGGAGGAAACTCAAGTGATTATTGTGGGCGGAGGTGTTTCTGGTCTTGCTGCAGCGAAAGTTTTATCGAATAAAATTAATTTTGTATTAATCGAAGCACAAAATTATCTCGGTGGTCGAATTTCTACAATCGATGCCGGTAAAACTTATTGAAATAAAACTTTCTCTTTCTATATTTCATTTGTAGGATCGAATTTGTTTCTCGATATGGTAAAATAACAATCAAATTTGCAAGAAAAAGTCGATTTGTATTTTCAGGGTGCTCAATATGTTGTTGGGAATAAATCGAAACTGTATAAGATCTGTAAAGACTTACACATGCTTCTGAATGACAAAGGCATCAACGATGGTATATCAATAATCGTCATTTTTCTCAAAAACACCTCTATTTTCTTCATATAGAAACAATGGTCATCACGACAGATGGGAGAACTTTTGATTCGGAATGGAATGATAAAGCCGAAGATTTCTGGGAACGATCGATTGATGATGTCGATGAGAAGTTTCGTGGTGGAAAAGTGAAACATCCAGTATCTTTTGCGGATTTCGTTCCACAACAATTCCGACAGCGATTATTGTCATCCTCACGGTTTCCTCGGGATCTCATCGAACCAATTGTTCACTGTTTTATCAATTCAGAGATGATCGATAGTGCTTGTTCCCTGTCGAATTTGAATCTACTCGGTAAATTTCATCCTGAAATATACATACGATTGTTATCGTTTCAATAGAATACAACGGATATGGAGATCCACCGGGTGAATATGAAAACGAATTGAAAAATGGTGGTTATCGACCGTTTATAAACTATCTCAGGTCGTTTATACCCGATGAGAAACAAATTCGTTTGAATTGCGAAGTTCAACGTGTGAAATACATGGAAAGAGAAAGGAAATTACTCGTTGAGATGGTTGATCTTCGAACTGAAGAGAAGAAATTTATGTTGTGTGATCAAATCATTTGGACAACTTCATTGGGATTTTTGAAAGAAAATTTTCAAAGAATCTTTGCAAGTGAACGGTTACTTATTGAACAAAAACAAAATGCAATTGATCAAATCGGTTTTGGAATCTTAAACAAAGTTCAACATGAAGACTCGTGCTTTTCTCGATAAAAATTTTCTTTTTCAGGTAGTTATCATTTACAAAGAGAGATTTTGGCCAAATAATATTAATTATATGAAACTATTACATACTCAACCGTATCGACTCGACGATTTATCTCCTCAATTACGAGCAGAACTTCATTCTCAACAAGTTGGTCAACATCTGATTGAAGAAATTGCCAATTCACTTCACTTTTATGGAGGTTTATCATCAACACATATTCCAATCTTAACTTGTTGGTTCGCCGATTCCTTAGCAATCAAAATTGAGAACCTAAACGAGCAAACCCTCGGACAAATTTGTCATGAAGTTCTCTGTCGATATCTTCGCCTCGATCAAAATCAATACAAACCAATAAAAGTGTTCCGGTACGTCAAAATCAAAGACATTCTCTTCATTAACATTTTATTCTCTTCTTCATAGGAGTCAATGGTTCAATAACAAATATATCCGAGGATCTTACTCTTATCAAGCATTGAATTCGACTAAACAACATAGAAGAGAATTAAAAACACCATATGCACCGGATGGAGTAAGATTTTAAAAGGAAATTCTCTGAGTAAATAGATGAATTTATCTTGTTTAAGGTTCCGAGGATTTTCTTTGCTGGCGAAGCGACTCATGAAGATTCTTATGGCATAGTCAATGCAGCGTATGAAACTGGTGTTGAAGTTGCTAAGAAACTTCTATAGAAGTCTCATCATCGTCTGTTTCGTCAGCTGTTCTTAACCATTGGATGAACTTTTCTGCATATTCATGAGTGTCTGTTTCTATGGTCTTCTGAATTGTTCGATTGGACTCCTAAATCACAAACAATTGGAATCGAACAGGATCGCTCAGAGATGCGTTTTTTTACCTTTTCATACCAATCGTAGAAAACGTCTTCGTCGATCAGGTCTTTTTCGTATAATTTATAAAAAATCGTGGAAATTTGCTTTTCGTTCGAGAAGATTTCGTGAATTTCTTCGTTCGAACAGATGAACATTGCGATTCCGTCTAATAACGAGTATTGTTGTTCATGATTTTGACAAAAATGAGATAGTAACACCTCATATACATCAATTTCTTTGAGAATTTCCTTTGTAAATAAGTTTCTCGCGATGAGACACGGAGCCTTTGTCGTCATGTTCAATCTTTTTGCTTCGTTGATTAATTCTTCAATTGAAACCAAGTCATTCAATTGGTCCGACAATTTCTTTCTCTAAATTCATTGAATTAAACGCGAACTTCAATTTCGTCACAAACAAACTTGAAATAAAGCAACGAATTGTTCATCATCATCATCATCCCAATCTTCATCAGAAGAAATACTCTGTGAAGAAATTTCATCGATTTCTTCTGGAAAACTGATTATTTGATTCCAATAGTACTGATTCTTCTTCTTTTCATCTTCCGACCAATTTTGACGAATAAATTTCACTAATTCATGGCATTCGATTGTGATTTCTCTTGTACTACCACAAGCACAACATCGTTGACAAAGTCCCTTCTCATCGCAATCCTAAAAGAACAAACAAAACTGTTTGCACGATGTCAAGTTTCACTTACTAAATCTGTTTCAGGGTTTTCACAAGTTTTACATAAGACAAATAGTTTAATAAATCCATCCAACACATTTTGTAATGTTTCCGGATTGTAATTTCCTAGAATGATGTATTGATTCGAATGGTTATTGACTTTCATCGAGGAATTTAATTCTAAAGCCAAATATTTGATGATATCTGAGAAGAATTTCGAAGAAATGAGTCGACATTCCAAAGAATTGCACTTACACTGTGGTGAGCGACGAAGAGCTTTGCCGATATCTGATAGATTAACCAAAATCGTTCGAAAAGAACTTCGTTCTTTGATCACCTACAGGAAAAAGAACAATTTTTCTAACGAATTTTCCTACCCAAAAACGAAAATACTTGAACGACAAGTTTCGGCATTTTGTATCGATTGAATGGATCTTCGATTGCACGATTGATATTCGTTAGCGTCATTGTTTCATGAAATTCTTATTAAAATGAAGTACTGAACGGCGATTGAATTTCAAATTCAAATGTTTACCTTTGTCCAACACATTCGGTAGCGAATCAATCGAAAGTTGATATGTCGAAGAATAAAGGAAAAGAAAATAGAAATATAGTTTCAACATAAATGACGTCACTCGATGATGCAAGAACCTTGATGAGTCATCAATCCAGTTTATTCTGATAAAGAAAGTCAATGCATTTGTATCGAAATCTAGACTAAAGTCTTGAATAATAAAAAAACTGATAAATATTGATTTTTAATTGGCAAAGAATGCATCGTTTAGTTGTGCAACGCCATTAACAACTAAACGACCAAGAAAATCACCGACAACGAATCCAATCAAACTTCCGATAAATCCTCCAATCCAAGGCGTAATTCCTGCAGCGCCGTACGTCAAGTAAGTGAGCAGAGCTTGAATAGCAAATGCAAACACACCTATGGTAAAACTTTTCACGACACTGGCCAAGGTTTGATTGCTTCGATAGCAATGAATGCAATAGCATTTCCTACACTATCATTCAGAATCTCACAGAATTTCGATGAACATGCTGGTAATATCGATTCAATCATTTCACTAGAAAATAAGATGATGAGCGATACGATTCTCTAATTATCTAACCTTAAAGCTTCTTGGCCAATACTTGGAATGAGTTTTTCACGTACTAATGAGTCGATAATCGCTTTGATAATTGCAAGAAGATATTTGCTAACATTTTCAACTAACTGTATTACTTGTGCACTAATCCACCGGCCCGTTTTACACCAATAAGCAAGACATTCACAATTCCTTATGAATAAGTTGTATCCATGAGCTTCTTCTGCAGTCCATGGCTTTGTCAGATTATTGGGCTCTATGAAACCATCACCATAGTTGATTTGTTCGAGAACGAGGTGAGCATTGTCAACAGCAATTTCCGGAGCGAGACATTGTGATTCATAAGCGGTACCAGCTCTTTTAAATCGAGCATATCGAGAGCCATAAACAACACGTTTCAAGCTGCAATCTTTTCGAAATCGTTTTAAACTAACAACTTGAATACGAGCACGATTTGGTTTACGACTGCCATCATATGTGCTGAATTCCAGAACTTGTGACTCATCAGGATCGTTTCTGTCGACAAATATTACAATGCCGTGATGTTGATGAAAAACAGAAGACCAAATGTATACATGATCACCCAACCATATATCTTTTGATGCTATTGTATGAAATACCGGCATTTGCGTTTTGTAAGTAACTGTTTAACGTGTGAGTTGTGCGTGTTCTAAACGGCGAAAAACGTTCGCTGCTCTCTTTTATTTATCGGTTGGTGCCATGGAGACGATCGGCGCACTTGGTATTTTCCAACATAAGGCAATTACGATTGAACTTCGATGGACTGAGCATATTATGAATAAATTTAGTACATATTCAGATACCTTTATTCAGTAAAATACTTTTCGTTTGGTTTATTTACGTTTCTATCAATCGCTCGTTGTTAACTTTCTTCCTCGTGCAGTTCTATGACCTTACTGAAAGTGAACTTTATTAAGAGAACAAGAAAAGAGTGAGAAAAAAAGACTGCGCACGATGACAGTGCAAATTGTTTGAGCTTTTTTTCTATGGCAGGCCGATAATTTCCAATAGACTCGATTGTTTCATATCGCAGGAATTTACTTACGATTGTCTAAGAGATGAGTTTCAATTTGTGTTGGTGCTGCAGACCAATTTAGTGAAGGAGAAAATTGGATTCGAAGAGATTTCTGTGCATTTTTACATTCTTAAACATACTTTTCGTCATAGTCGTTGGTAAACAATTATGTGATCGGTATTCGCATAGGAAAAAATAGATTGAGAATTACATAGAGAATCTATTGTCTACAGAACACGTTGAATTATCCCATGATGAAAATGACTTTCTCGATGTTCACATCTATTTTCGTGATAAATGGAAGGCTTATTCAACAGCTAAGCATTTTCAGGAAATCAAACCGCGATAAAAGTCACGAGAATCGCTCGTCTGAACGAAAGAGATTATTGGTTCTACCAATACTTCACGAATATCTTTTCTCCGAAATCAATCCAGATCTCTACGTATGACACATCGCATTTTACCAAAAATATGTCCACTGTTTAGTAAATCAGTATACAATTCAAACTGAATGGGCGCTGAAAGTCATGTACTCAAGAATGAGGATTATTGAGAACTATTGTTGTGATTAGAGGAAGAGAATTCTACCTTACACAAGTATGATTAATTTTGAAACCATTGATCGCTGAATTATGTAAGTTCATTGAAGGCCGAGTGATCACTGACTGGATTTGTTTAGAGAAAATTGGGTGAATTGTGACGTAAAATTACACAACGTTGTTCGCTGAAGAACTATAATCGGCAAGTTACTTGTCACTCATCGCATAAATTTTTGTGATGTCGCACTACTATATATATGAATTTCTGCCTTTTCTCAATTCGTTAGCTTCAAAAATATTTTTTGTTGCATTGAAGCCAAGCGAATAGTTGAGATTATGCAGTAAAAGATAATTAGAGAGCTCCACAAATTAATCGTAGGTTATAACATCGCTAGAGCTGTATTACCCGATAGTTTTCAAAGTATTCCTATATAAGGACTTGACACACAAGAATCTCGAAAATTTCCAACTATCAGATTTGTGTGGCGATACCTTTTCTTTATCTATAAAGCTGCGAACTAGACGAACATTGCATCATACTAACATCATCTTGTGTTTATTCCCCTAGTAAGATGTAATAAGCAAAAATTCTCTTATCTATTCATGTTAACATTATAAATACTACTGCACTCTCAAAACTCTCCAAAGCTTAACTGAAGATGTTAAGTACACCGAATTTGATGGTGAAACTGATCTGGCTGATTCTACTAATACTCGGTCTATGTCACTGCGGTGAATATTTCTTTTTCAAAATACTTTACAATTGTTTTTTCTCTGTTAGAATCAACCGTTACTGAAAAGACGATATTGCTTATTGGCGAAACTGGAGTTGGAAAGAGTTTTATTGGTAATAAATTACTTGCAGAAAGAAAGTTTAATACATCCGGAGGTGTCAATTCAACGACAAATCAGACTGAAGCTTATACGAAAAGAATTCAATTATCAACTGACACCGGTCTATTAGAATTGACAGTTGTCGACACTCCAGGCATCGGCGATACCAATGGGAGGTCAAGCGAATTTCTGGATAAGATTGTAGAGTATATCAGAACGCACGATATCAATACAATCGCGATTGTTGTAAAACACGGTTAGTATTCGTGAGATTTTGTGTAGAATTTGCAACATGTTCGTTTTTTTTGCAGATAAAATAAACGAACCGTTTCGAAAGTATTTGACTGCACTGAAAGAAACTTTAGTTCGTTTCAATGATGCACAAACAATCCTGATTGTGAACAAAGTGACACCTGAAGAGCAATTGCGCGAAGATGTAAATGGGCCTCAAACTGTAGAAGAATTGACAGCTCAAGTAAAAAGTGTAGTTTTCACAGCATTGAATTGTTCTTCTTTGAGTAATATTGTGATAATCCCACTGCTTGCCGATGCGCAGACATGGAAATCAGCAGTAGAAAATATTTCGCAAATGATCAGATCTTCAGGGCAAGTAGATAAAGAAGGACTGAAAACATGGACCGAAACGTTAAAACATTACGAGAACGTTCTCAACGGGAAGATTTCAGCAGATGTTGCTGTTAAGTGGAGAATAAGTCAGCTCGAGGGGGAGCGAAGGGGATTGGTAAATGACATCGATTACAATCAGGCCCGTATTAATAAAATCATAAACATAAAAATACCAGCTACGGTATTGATCCCCATTGCGTGTCCCATTACAGTGGCGGTTCTGTTAGCTGAAGCGAATAGATGCGAAGAGAGAATTCGGGGATTTGAGAAAAGAATACGTGAGATTGACAATCAATTACATCCTTTACGTAGTGGTGCGGTTAGCACAGAACAAGAAGGTTCATGGGCCGATAAAAAACTGAAATATATGCAGAGTATTTTCGATGAATCAAACGATGATGGTGCCAAGGCCAAAAATAAAAAATCCGAACTGTGAACGGAATATTTTTTATATGAAGTGTACTATCCTTTTGTTATAAATTTATGTATACAAGAAAAAAGAAAGTGCTCATCATGCCGACCTCCAATAAATCATAATCAGGTTGCTTTTTAAATCTCTCAAACTGTTGAGCTTGGCCTTCCTTTCTGACTGGCAGTTTCTTCTGTGTGAGATACTGCAAAAAATTACGAATCAATTAGTTAGCCAACGAACTCATTTCCACCTGTTGTATAACAACTGACCCAATACGCAGAATTCGAGGATGAAGAAAGGATGGAGTCTGCTTCCAAGTCATACTTCGCCTTTCAGCTGTTAGAAATCGACGCCCAGGCGAATGTTTCTCACTTCAGCTGTACTGCGTAATTTGTCTTTGCTTTCTTCCGACATTGGATTTCCAATAAGCATAAATCCCTTTATTGATTGATTTCTTTTCAACATATTCATGATGAAATCGATCGAACTATCTGTAATTTGATTAAATGTTAAATCAATAACTACAAGTGTTTTGTTCTGATCCATCAACACTTCACATAATTTCATCACTCCACTATCACCGAAATTATTCGCCCCCAAATATAAATCTGTGATTGTGTTGTTTATTGCTAACATTTCAGCAAGATAACCAATTCCATGATCAGTAATGAAATTTAAATGAAGATGAAGTACATGACAGTCTTCGTTTGATTTCAATTCATTTGCAAGCAATTTTATATCTTCATCGGTCAAATTTTGAGCATTTAAATTCCAGTTTGATTCATTCTTCAATTCAGCGATTGTTTTTCGAAGGTCGTTGTCAGCCATTGAAATATTGCAATAATATAAATGTTTTTTTCTTTCTCGTCGCAAGACATTAGTTGCGTTGTGATGGTGAAGTTCAAATGACAAAGAGAAAACAAATTTTCTTCTTTGTTGTGAAATATTGTAATAATTGAAAAGAAAAAAAAATATGCATTCTACATTTTGGGTGAGAGTAACGACTATTGCTCTGATGATGAAATGGTCACCCTCACCTTCGAAATGGAAATAATCAAACATAATAGAGGATATCGTACATTTTCAAGAAATTACAGCAAAACTAATTCGTGATCAATTTATTACACGAAAATTTCTTCGTATGCTTTATAAACAAGTAACGCTCATCCTTTGGATTCGCTGACCCTTTTCTGAAAGACTTTTCCGAATGCTGAACACATTCAGAGACTCCGAAAGAGAGACAATGCACTGCGATTGCTATTAGTGCTCAACTGAATCATGGCACTATGTCACACACTAGAATCAATAGGATGCAAAAGTCTTTTTAGGAATCAGACCGATTGGCCATTTGTTAGTGAATAATTCTCCAGCACTAACTATGTTGACTGAAAAATTCATCGGTCAACGGCTAGTCAGACGGCCACTCACGGCCAACCATTGACCTTTGTCATCTATTTTTCTATTTTCACATCACGCGCATGGAAATTTTCATAAATGCTTTACTAAGTTACTCATAGACGGACGATATACAGTAGACTAATTGAAAAGTTACGTAATGGAAGTTAGCAGCGGATTCGAGTATATCCTGCTGACATTCGCTCCAGTACTTGGGATGAGTGTGAAACTCCTGGGATGGATAGATCTCGTCATTCCGCATCGAATGGTGTAAGATAGGTGGGGGTCATCGCCCATAAGTGAGGCTTCTACCGATAAATAGTAGTAAAATAGTGAGTTTTACTAGTATATCCTGCTGATATTCGCCCCACTACTTGGGATATCTCTGAAACCTCTGGGATATATAGATCTCGTCATTCCGCATCGAATGGTGTAAGACAAGTGGGGTCACCGACCGACTACACCAGCTTTACCAGTAAATAATCGTAAAATAGTAGATTTTACCAGTATATCC